CTATCACCTTCCTCATACTCCACAAGGCATATGTAGCATCTGTTAGATGACACAGGGGAAACAGAAAAAAGAAAAAAAACAAAAAAAAAGGAACACTAATCAGTAAATGAAAGGAAAAAAAATAATAATAACAATAATAAGACAGATGACTGTTTGTATTACGAAACAGAAACAAAAACAAAAACTTATTAATTTACCTCCATCACTTATAAATTATAATTAGTGAAAATGAAAATAGACTTGGATACTTACTGTGCCACTTCCTCATTTTGATGTTTTTGCAACTTCGTATATAACTTGACAGGCAAAGATTCCACAACGTCACTAGGTGCAGGAACAGATCCAATAGAAGAAACAGAAGGTCGGGATGATAAAACCACAGATTGCTGGTGAATTTCATCCAGAACCCAATTAAATTAAGTAACAAAAATATTCAACTTATATTAAAGGTAGTGAAAAATGCTATTGTTATAGAGGTTTACCACATGTTATTATTGTCCATAATTTACGGTTTTTGTCAATAACTTATCTGACTATAAACCATAACTTGACAAGTTTATCCATAATTTATATGATTATGAACCATAACTTAACAAGTTATAACCTATTAATTTCTATAACTAAAAATTGACCTATATGCTGTTCATATCGACCTATTTTCTACTATTTTCGTTATTATTATTTTGCTAATCCTTTCATAAAAGCATCCTTTGCTCTCACCTCAGTTTTGTTTGGCCCCTTTTACAGGCCTTCAGAAGTCAAGTCTTTGGGGGCCTCTTTTGGTGGATTAGGGTCAAGTAATCCAAAAAGCCGGTCAGTCCCAGATCTAAAACGGATGCCTAGTTCACTTCGCGAATTTAAATTTTTAATTGGAGTTAAGATGTGACATTTTTTGATAATTTTTAACTGTAGCAGAAAAAATTAAATGTGTTATTTTCTAAAAAATTTTAACTGTAAAAACTTAGAGGCTGTTCGGCAGCCCCTTTTTTGAGTAAAAAACTCAAAAAAAAACAACCCGAGTTACAACTTTATTCAAGTTCATGTTCTTTTAAGTTTGAACTCGAGTTTGAACTTGAGTTTGAGACTAAAACTCGAGTTCAAGTTTCCCCTTCAACTCGAGTTCAGAAACTCGAACTCAATTTAATGAACACTATTTTTTTTATTCTTAAAAATGCTATAACTTTCTCGTTTTAATTATGATTGAAATGATTTTTTTTCTATGCGTTGACAACGAAAAGACGAATAAAACCCCACTCATATACCCTATTAAAATTTTTCATCAGCATTGAGTTTTTATTAAAATACTATATAAATACAAATTCAAGTTTTGACTCATTCAAACACAAACCCAAAAAGATTCTTATCTCAAACCATAACTCAAATGTACACAACCAAACACAAACCCGTTCACTTCCCTGATTCGAGTTTGTAATTCGAGTTAAGATGTGATTTTGTGTGAGAGCTTTTTACTGTAGCAAAAAAGTTAGATGTGATTGTTTCTGAGAGCTTTTTACTGTAGCAAAACTCGAATCAGCGAAATGAACGGGGCCAAATTACAACTTCAGCTCAAGTTATAACTCAAACTCAACTCAAAATCTACACTCAAGTTACCTAACTCAAAAACGGTAAAAGAACAACCTCTTAAAATTGAAAACTCAAATCGGTGAAATAAACGAGATTTGTCTTAGACATCGATTTGACAATATGTTTGGCAAAGCAAACTAGAAATGATTAACTAATAATTGTTCAAAACTTGGATAGGCTCTGGCTAATTAGCATAAAACCTCCATTAAATAAAAACTACTTTAACCCACACACTCCTAAATATCATCTCTAACACCCCTATCTATTTATTTATTTGAAAAAAATAAAAAAATATATATATCTTTACCTAAAAGAATGATAAAACCCTTCATTTTTAATGATATATTATTACGCTATTTTCACGATTCGAATAACAACTTAAATTTTTTATTATCATAATTTTTCTTATAAAAAATTAAATTTATTTTTTTTGCTACATTTTTTTCTCTCATAAATTTACATTTCAGGTTCAGTGCACTCCATAAGAAGAAGATAAATAAATACTAAGTTTCACTACATGTGTTGGGTGTTTACGTAAAACTTTGATAAAAATACGGGAGGGGAAAAGATTATCTTGTCAAAGATGAAAATATATTAAAAATGAATCAGTAAATCTTTTAATTGTCACACTTTCTATCAAAATAAAAATAAAATTTAATACTATGAATAATTTATTCAGATGATAGAACAACATATTTGGCCTAAAAAAAGCAAGGTCGTCGGCGTGCATGGTTTTTTTTTATCAGTGCCGCCTCTTGAATTTTAAGGGTCATTTACAATTTGGCTTCTGAACTCTAAAAATTCACACTTTATCACATGAAGTTTAATTTGTTTCCGTTTAATTTCGTTTGTTGAAATTTTTGTTAAAAACATACAAAAAATAGAGAGAGAGCATGAAGTCACATAATTTTTCTGTTGATTTTTTATAAAAAAATAAACAAATAAGAACCACATGATTACATTTAAACCTAAATTTTAACAAAAATTCTTACACAAGAGTTTAAATTAGACAAATTCAAAATTTTGATGAGTAAAATGAGAGTTTTTAAAATTTAAAAATAAAATAAAAATGATTGAAAGTCAGTGAGATTCATCCGTTTTTTCACAATTTGACTAGTAAATTTATGTTTGAATTTAATTTCAAAATTAATAACAACTAAAATTTAACTGAAACACTTATATGTTATTTTTCTAAAAAAAGAAAAACATTGGATTTTTTTTCAATATTGATTATATCGTTTTAGATGTTTTCTTTCACCTAAAAAATGTACTTTAGAACACCTTATAAAAAATAGTGAATAACTTATAAATAAAATAAAATATTAAAAATTAAAAGTGCAATTTACTAAAAAAAATATTAAAACAGCAAAAATAAAAATCACAAAATAGTGATAGGGATAAGAGTATAATTAGGGCCGGCAATATGGGTCACGACACGACGACACGACTCGAAAACGACACGAATTTTGCGGGTTAGGGTTGAGAAAAAAGTGGTTCGGGTCAGAATTGGGTCGACCTGAAATTAACACGAAAAATACGGGTCAATTTCGGGTTGGACCCGTCTAACCCGAACACGACGGGTTGGACCCGCCTAATCCGAACACGACATGAAACTCGTAAAAAACTAAAAAATACATATATTTTTCATTTCATATTTTAAATTTTATTATGAACTTGTGATATCATGATAGTTATACTCAAAATCTTATACTATTATTTGCTTAATTTCAATGGATGTTATTGTAATTTAGTGTGTTATGAATTTTAAGTTATTTCTAATATGTAAAAAACTAAATAAAAGTATATAATTTTCGTGTCAATTTCGGGTTCACGGGTCAATTTCGTTTCACGAGTCATTTTCGGGTCGTGTCGTGTCAGCTCGTAAAGTGGTCGTGTCGTGTTCGTGTCGCGGTTTTTAAAAAATTTCGTGTCACGGGTCGTGTTCGGGTTGACTAAAAATTTTAAAAAAACGATCAAAACACGACACGAACACAACACGTGACACGAATTGCTACCCCTAAGTATAATAGAGAGAGATCAGAGATGGTCGAAAAAGGATTTGAATTTACTTAGAGCCCGTTTGATTCATGGATTAGAATCATGAGATTAGAACTATTTTTTATTTATGTGTATTTTTTATGAGAGAAAATACTGTAGCAAACCATGAACTATGATTCAAATCAGAGAATAAATCTTTCAACTAAACAGACTCTTATATTATAAAAAAAAAAATGAAAAGGATTGGAAAATGAGAAGAATAGGACATAACCGTAAGACTAACAAATAAGAAGAGAGAGAAAATCTCACTCCTCCCGAGGGGTGGGGGCTCACAGTTAGCAGTTCACACACAAATAAATACGTCATAATATGACCAGTGATGATTGATGCACATCTCTCGTTATTAGGCTCGTTCATTTTATTGATTTGAGTTTAAAATTTAAATTGAGATATAATTTTATATAAAATTTTTTTACTGTAGTAAAAAAATTAAATGTAATTATTTATGAGAGCTTTTTATTATAGAAAAATTTAAATTTTAAACTTAAATCAGCGAAATAAATGGATCAGTTATGTTTGCTCCTTTTATAGAAAGGATACAAAAACATAACCCAGTCTTCAGTCCGTACTTATATATTTTTTCTTTAAGTGTGTATATATTTTTAAAAAAATATAGATTATATATTTTATTATAAAAAAATTATATATTTTATTATAAAAAAATTATATATTTTAAGTAAAAATATTTATGTTTTAAAACAAATATATACATATTTTAAAAAAAAATATACAAATGTTATTTTAATTCGATACTGAATTGGAGACAATTTCTAAAACTATATTCTTGTGCCGTTTGTTAATGTTAAATTTACAGAATGTAAAAATTTTAAAGCTGAAATTTAGTGAAATTCAATGGTATAATAGTCACGAATTAGTGATCAGATATTTTATTAGTCTACCAAACTATTTTCTGTTCTTAACGGTTTTGAGACGTCAACTCTTATTAGACTCTTATTAGCAAAAAAAAAAAAAAAAAAAACTCTTATTGGACTTATACAAGAACGAAAAATATATATATTTAATGAATTTGATGAAAATAGATACATTCAAAACTACATATTATCAATAGTACATATCCTTATACATAATTTTAAAATTCATAATTTTATTCATTTACGTTTGTCGAACAAAGGACTAATAATTTAAAAATTTGCATTATCGATAGAATATCAATTATATATTATTCTTTTGTCCCTACCAAACCAAGCAATTTTTCCTTTTGTTTTTTGAGGGGGAAAAACTTTTTTTTTTCCGTTAATTTGACAAATTTGTTTCGTTTTGGTAAGGTTTCTTTTTTCAGTGTTATTTTTATTATTTTTATAATTTATTTATAATTTTTTGTTTGTTGTTGAGTTTGTTTGGTTTCGTCCCGGCTCTCTCAGCTTCTGCCCACGCTACTGGCCTCTTCTTTTGCGGGACCTTCTTCATTCTCTTCAGTTTTGCAGCATCTCTCTCTTTCTCTCTTTCATTCTCTTAAATTAAATGAAATTGAATTATTGATGAAGAAGAAGTTGATTCACCTAAACAAACAGGACGGAAGAAGAATACGAAGAAGAAGTTGCGACCACCGCCATTTATGATTTATTCTCGCTCTGCCCTAGCCCTCTCTTCTCGCACCCAATTTTCTCTCTCTTTCTCTCTCTCCAGGTTTTTCCCTTTATTTCTCTTTTCTTCTTCGATTTGATTGTTGTTGTGATTTGATGCGAATCTTCCGAGAGATTTGAAAACAAAAGGCAGAATCAAAATTGGATTTTTTTTATCCAATTCCTTCGAACAATCATAACAATCATGAGGCTGTTTTGTTCAGGGCAAAGAAAATAAACTGCGTTTTATATAGTTTTTGTGTTTTTTGCTGCATATACTGGAAGCCTCAATTCTTGTTTCAAGTATTTGCCTAACTTATTGAGGATCACTTGAAAAGATGTTTGCTTTTTTTTTTTTATATGGCTTTTTGTGCTTTACTGAATCCTCTTGTTTTAATTGCCTATTGTACGTCATTAATCAAGTGTTATTAAGTTACTGATGGTTCTGATAAAGCCTTTAAGGACTTCGTTTTTACTTTTTGATTATTTTGAAGTGGGCAGATCGAATTATGTGATTATTTTGATGGTTTTTCCTTCTTTGATGTTGCCCTTCCTCAATTCCTTTGTACTGTTTGCATTAAAAAAATAAAAAAATAAATAATAATAATAATAATAATAATAAACGTCTTTAATAGGTTTGTTTTGTGCTGCTACCTCAGAGATTCTTTGAAGTAAAGGTTTTGTTTTTGGATGTAGTTCCAGGTGCAGCTAATGAAAGAGTTGCCAAGTTCCTAACGTGAATTTTCTTTATTTATCATCAATTCTCTTGAATGTGTCCTAGTCTTATCACTTGCTTGATCAACCTTGCTAGCTCCATGCTATGATATTCCTTTTGTTTAGTGTCTTCTCTTCTGTCTGTAAAAGTCCTACCCTTTAAGCATTCTACAATTCTGGATATCTATGTTGTGTCATTTTATATGTGTGCATACATGTTTCTCTAGTCATATATACAGACACACACGCACGTAACTACTCTTGCTACCTTCAAGGAATAATAATTCTTTGTAAATCCTTTGTTTTGGCAGGGGGTAAGGCTAAAGTTTGCCCGATCGTTTTGCAATTGAAGTTAAGAGGAAGTCATCCTAGATTCACACATTCGTTAGTAGGGAAGGTTTGAATATCAACCATGCCTTCTCTACAACTACTGCAATTAACTGAGCACGGCCGGGGTATTCTGGCATCGAGGAGGTATTGAATAATCACACACTATCACTTAATATTTATATTTCTTTGAGTTCTCAGGGGCGTTTGTTTCATGTTGGTCATAACGTGGATTGTTTTCCAGAAGGAAAAAAAAGATACCCGATTGGTTGGTTTTCCAATAAAATACTTCATTCATAGTTCCACCCATATATTGTTCTAGTGGTTTACATTAATGAATGAAAAAAGTGCATGTATAAGAACTACGTTTGAAGTTATTGAATTCTTGTATTTAGCTTTGTGAAATCTCAGACATCTTTTTCTTTAATATTAGCTCTGTAATTAATGTTTCATTCTGTGCTGACCCTGTGGACCTTCTTCATATGGTGATTATATTTCGTTAATCGCATCCAGGAAAACTTTATTACTAGCTACAGGCATCGTATTCGCCGGTGGGACTGCTGCATACGTGCAATCTCGATTTAGCAGTAAAAGACGCGATTCTTTTAGTCACTACAATGGGCTAGATAACAATAAAGGAAATTCAGAAGTGTTAGCAAATGATAAAAATCTGAAGAAAAATTCAGAAAAAAAGGGCGGATTGAAGTCACTCAAAGTACTTGCTGCAATCCTCTTATCCAAAATGGGTCGAATGGGTGCAAGAGACCTTTTAGGTTTAGTAGCAATTGTGGTAAGTAATTTTTTATGCACATCTGAGGTACAATTTTGATATTTTATTTTATTTTTTTCCCTTGAAGGTTATAAAAGATATTAAGATAGTGGTTCTTTCATTCTAATTGTGAGTTAAAATAGATTTTAGTTAGCCTTCGAACATAAGGAAGTCTATTTTGATTTACTGTTTAAAATTTTTACCCAGAAGTTGAAACAACTGAATTTCACTTCTCGTTTATTCATCTGATTACTCCTAATTAAATATGCATTTTTAGAGGTAGGAAGTAGTTTGTTTTATATATGTTCGGATTGTTAAAAACTACTCCAACATGCAGTAATGCTTCAATCTCCATAACAATATATTATGTTGTTTTCTTGTTTTATGTTTGCAGGTGTTGCGAACTGCTTTGAGCAACAGACTGGCAAAAGTGCAAGGATTTCTATTCCGTGCAGCTTTTCTTCGGCGTGTACCACTATTTTTTCGGCTGATTTCAGAGAATATTTTGTTATGTTTTCTCCTTTCATCCATGCATTCTACTTCAAAGTACATTACAGGGACCTTAAGCCTGCGGTTCAGAAAGATTTTGACAAAAATAATCCATTCTTATTACTTTGAGGTAGTTATGGTTATAATTTTATGTTCAATAAATTATAACACTTCTTTTTTTCTTTCTTGCTATATGTACAAATAAACTTATTAAATAGTTAGGCAATTCTTGACTTGTTCAGAAGAAACCTTTATCGGGGCTAACATGGTAATGAGAACATTTCAGTTGCAAATGATGAAATTTTGTGTTACTCAAATCCTCAAACGCTTGAGAGAAGATAATACGTTTTGGCTGATATAGCATTATAATAGTGCTTGCCACTTTTTGAGTGAAAATTTCCCATGGATGTGTATTTAATTTATGTTTCATAAGATGCTGTGTAATGGATTTTTTATTTTAATATTGAGCTCTTTGTTATCTGAATTAGTTGAACGAAATGGAATTCATTGTGATTGATATAGCTCGTCCTTTGTCACGCACCATTGGCACATTAATTTCACTCTTCTAATTGGTGATGTGATGCCCTTATTTAGGCTTAACAAAGAGAAGAACAATTGGCATTTCAATACCTTGTAATATTCTCCTGATTATTGCAATGTGTTCCCAGTTTCACATAGTAAACCTTTTTTTTTCTTTTTTTTTCTTTTGGGGTTTCAGAGCATGGCATATTACAAAATATCACATGTAGACGGTCGGATAACAAATCCTGAACAAAGAATTGCTAGTGATGTACCAAAATTCTGTTCAGAGTTGAGTGAAATAGTGCAGGATGATTTAATAGCAGTCACTGATGGTCTGCTTTATACTTGGCGCCTTTGTTCATATGCCAGCCCAAAATATGTCTTTTGGATATTGGTAATGTTCTACTTCTTTTGTGCATTAAATTTATAGCCTTTGGCCTCTATGTTTGTATATTTTTCCATATTTCTTTGTTGATTTCTTGTTGAAGCTATTCTACCATATAGCCGCTCACGGGCTGTACAGCTCAACACGGTTATTAATTATTGCTGCAGCAATTAGTTTTTGACTTTAACGTTTGATGTTACTTACTTAGGCATATGTACTAGGAGCTGGGACAATGATTAGAAACTTCTCTCCTGCTTTCGGAAAATTAATGTCCAAAGAACAACAGCTGGAAGGAGAATATAGACAGCTTCATTCACGGTTGAGGACCCATGCAGAAAGTATAGCATTTTATGGTGGAGAGAGTAGAGAAGAATCCCATATTAAGGAAAAGTTTCAGACACTTATTAGACATCTGAGAGTTGTCCTTCATGACCATTGGTGGTTTGGCATGATTCAAGACTTTTTATTGAAGTACCTTGGTGCTACTGTTGCTGTTATTCTGATTATTGAGCCCTTCTTTTCGGGCCATTTAAGACCTGACACTTCAACTTTAGGGCGTGCAGAGATGTTGAGCAATCTAAGATATCACACTAGTGTCATAATTTCGCTATTTCAGTCTCTGGGAACACTTTCTATAAGTGCAAGACGACTTAATCGTCTCAGGTACTTTTTTTAAATCAGTCTTCTCTAGCATTACCATTAGAAAGAGAGACACTGATGTACTCGTTGGTAAATGAGCTTGTTGTATGGCCAGCCAGTCGTGATATTCTTTCTATCTTTTTCTTCTCCAGTGGTTATGCAGATCGCATTCATGAGTTATTGGTCATATCAAGAGAGCTAAGTATTGGTAGTGACAAATCTCTGATGAAAACATCTCAGAGTAGAAATTGCTTTAGTGAGGCTAATTATATCGAGTTTGCCGGTGTTAGGGTACGTAAATCTATTATTCTTCTGCATGTTGATAGTATCTTTTTCTACATTCCATTCCATGTTCTAATAGCTCTGGGATCTTCCAGGTTGTTACCCCAACTGGTAATGTCTTGGTGGACGATTTGACTCTTAGAGTTGACTCAGGATCTAATCTTCTGATTACAGGTATTATCTTTAGATCTGAGGGTATTCATTAGATTGTAAAGCTTGATTTATTCCTTGCACTTCCTAGTCCATTTATATGCCTTTCCCAGTTCACTACATTTTGTTATGAAGAAAAAGTATACTTTTTTTTGCGCCTCCTAGTCAGTTTCTGTGTCTTTCCCAGCTTACTGCATTTTGATTTACTTGATTTACTTTCTTTTTTTTTTTTTTTTTTTTTTTTTTTTTTTTTTTTTTTTCCTTTCAATTTTTTTTTTTTTTTTTTTTCCAAGTTTGTTTCTATGTCTTTCCCAGTTCAATGCATTTTGTTATGAAGAAATGGTTTTGCATAAGAATGTGCTGCTTACTTCTTCTTTTTCCTTTTTTTAAAAAAAAAAGAAATGAAAAATTTATGATTAACTTGTTTTTTGCTTGTTTGGCAAGATTTTATGTTGCAAAGTGATGAGTTTGGCATATTATGCGAAGAGGGTAGCTTGTTGCCCGGTAAGACAGCGGTTGTTTCTAAGTGCAAGAGACAAGACCGTCCTACCTACTGTGCCCTTATAATGGAAAATGGTTAAAGGATTCTTGTAGCAGACCCAAAAACTTCTGTAATAAAAACTTAGTTGATTGAGGTTGACTATGATGTTGTTTGGTGCATGCTTGATTAGATGTAGCTCAGGGAGGTACTCAAATTTATTTGGCGTGAACATGTTGTTTATGTTTCATGTTTGCTAGATCTGGTGCCCTGCTTTTGTGGTTTTTCACTGTTTGTGACTTGTTGCTTTTTTCAGTTAAGTACTGTGATAACTCTTCTGAAATACCATCTTAGCATTGATTTGTTTGACACGTGATGATTGTGTTACTAAATCCTGTTGAAGGTCCAAATGGTAGTGGGAAGAGCTCACTTTTCAGAGTACTAGGAGGCCTCTGGCCCCTTGTATCTGGCTACATCGCAAAACCTGGAGTTGGTACTGATCTCAACAAGGAAATATTTTATGTACCACAAAGGCCATACACAGCTGTAGGAACACTTAGAGACCAGTTAATTTATCCTCTTACCGCGGATCAGGAGATCGAACCACTCACACATGATGGAATGGTGGAGCTGTTGAGAAATGTAAATTTTCATTTCATTGTTTTCTGTCTTAGCCGAATACAGAATGATCTATACATTTATTGTTGTAAATTATAATTTTTCTTGCTTCATTCTGACGTAATTGTTTGTGGATATTATGTGTTCATGTGGATGAATGGGTATTGCTATCTGAAGGTTGACCTTGAGTATCTACTAGACCGTTATCCGCCTGAAAAAGAGATTAATTGGGGTGATGAGCTATCTCTTGGCGAGCAACAAAGATTGGGAATGGCCAGACTGTTCTATCATAAGCCTAAGTTTGCAATTCTTGATGAGTGTACTAGTGCCGTCACAACTGATATGGAGGAACGCTTTTGTGCTAAAGTTGGAGCAATGGGAACATCATGCATTACCATCTCACATCGTCCAGCTCTAGTTGCATTTCACGATGTGGTGTTGTCATTGGATGGTGAAGGAGGTTGGAGTGTTCACTATAAAAGGTTTGAAAACTGACTTGGTTTACTTGTCATTTTCTCTTTTATGTATTTGTTTTGCACTTTGCTTACCAGTTATCTGTTGCGGACTGTCTTTGCATATTAAACCTCTGTGATAACTCAGGGATGACTCCCCAGTCCTTGATGAAGTGGGGATAAACACAATGAAGCCTTCCGAGACACATCGCCAGACTGATGCAATGGCAGTGAAACGAGCGTTTGCTGCAAGTAAAAAGGTCAGGTCTAATAATTTTCAAAACTTGATCCATGGGCTTGTATCATTGTTTCTGTCCAAGCTTACATCATACTTATCTCATGGGTAATTTGGTGCAGGATTATGCATTCTCGAATTCAAAGGCACAATCTTACATTGCAGAGGTTATAGCTAATTCTCCGCCTATGGATCATGCTGTTTCCTTGCCAGTTTTCCCACAACTCCGTGGGGCTCCACGGGTATTGCCCTTGAGAGTAGCTGCGATGTTTAGAGTATTGGTGAGACATTTTAACATCGGCACTCTTTGTGACTACTTTTTTGCATTTTAATATTATTGCCATGGTCTGCTATTTGTTTTCATGTTAACACTTGGTGTTTATTCTGTTATTGTATTTACTTGGTTTTTATGACTAGTCTTGAGCTTGAACTCTGATGATTGTGTTTGCCTAAATGTTTTTTTTTTTTTTTTTCTTCTTCATTTTCATTTACTTTTCGGTACTAGAATCTTGGTATAACTCTCCTTAGTCTACCATTTCATCATTAGCCATACAGATTTAAAATGCAGTGAGAGGGGTTATAAATTGCTAGGCAGGAAGAAGGGGAGCCCCATCCTGCAGCTAAAACAGAGGTTGACTACATGTATAAGGAGGTTGATTATGACCTCTATTAGTCTATTTCATAGGCCTTATTCCCATCTATCTTTTGTTGAAGACGGGCTAGAGGCTGTGGTCGAACCACATTCTTCTTTATTCTGAGGGTTCTTCATTTTGGGATTTCCGTACTTTGAGTATCACCAAGGATAAGAAATCCTCAGTTTTAAGGCCTGTGAATCTTATCCTAGTGTTTGGGATACAGAAACATCTCTTTCATCTTTGATTGCATTACTCGATACTATTTGGGAACAAAGTTTACACGTAATAGTGATTTTATTGCATGTTTGCTTTGGCCTTGAGAGGCAGTCAAGAATATGTTATTAATTCCGTGTACTTTGGCGTGATCTCTTACTTGTGTAGCATCTTGATGCTGGTCAGAACGATATGGCTTTCTATTAAGATATCCAGTGTATTATTGCCATTATATTTTATGGCACATGATGGTCTTAGCATGCATCCAAGAAAGTGAAATTTCTTTTATTCTGCTTACTAATCTTCAAGGTGCCTCTTTTCAGGTCCCAACAGTGTTCGATAAACAAGGAGCACAATTGCTTGCAGTTGCTTTTCTTGTTGTATCTAGAACTTGGATTTCAGATCGTATTGCATCACTAAATGGTATTCCCCCCCCCCCCCCCCCCCACACACACACACACCCTTTTTAAGTGTTTTATAATCTAAAAATCATGCTGTGATTGGAGTTTTTTTAATTATACAGGAACTACTGTGAAATACGTTTTGGAGCAGGATAAGGCAGCCTTCATTCGTTTAATTGGTATTAGTATTCTTCAGAGTGCTGCTTCTTCTTTTGTTGCCCCATCTTTAAGGTAATGAGTTTTGCATTTTCTTTAAGGAAATCTGAGCTTATTTAGTTCATCTGTTGGGCTTTCCTATGAAAATATGTATCGGAAAATTCCTTGTGGGGGACCACTTTTCAAGGGTCAAAACTCTTAATCAAAGCATTTGTTTTTAGATAACCGAAAGAGTCAAGTTCTGCTAAGAGAAGTCGGAAAAACTTTAGGTAAAATCCTTGTGAAAAGATGATTATGGGTAAAGCTGCAGGTTAAAAGTTGACTACTCCTCCTAAATTGTTCTGTGGTTTGGAAGTTGTGGAGGTTTTTTCTTTTTTTTTTTTGGTTTACTTGGGACATTTCTGGGATATTATTTTATTAAAAGGCTCAGTTGTTGAAGTCCTTTTTGGTAAGAAAGCAGCAAAGGTGTGACTCCTTTGGAGGTTTTGAAGGCTTGCCTCCAGGTCTTTTCACGTTTATTGCACAAAAAAAGTGAATTCTTTAGATCACTCTGTAATGGGAATGAGGAATACTTTTCTATCAGGGTCATTTCTGTGGTTTTAGAGGAGTCCCATATCTGTCATTATTTTGCAGGCACCTGACAGCCAGGCTGGCTCTGGGATGGAGGATTCGATTGACCAAACACTTACTGAAGAATTATCTGAGAAAGAATGCATTCTACAAGGTACCCGGATGATAGATATTTGTCAAATCTTTTATCTCTATTTTACTTTTACCTTTCTGATGATTTATTTTTTACTTCAAACTCTTGGTTAAGAATCTTTATCTTGTATATATCACTTGAGCTGTTTAAGTTTTTCATTTGGATTATAAATCAAAAGCGGCTATTTTCTTCTCTTTATTCCCTGCCTCCCCCCTCCCCTCCCCCCGCGTGTCAGATTCTTCATTTAGATTGGTTCCACATTCATGTAAATATGTTATGTTTCTTTGTAGGTCTTCCACATGTCGAGCAAAAATATTGATGCCGATCAGAGAATAACTCATGACCTGGAAAAGTTAACAACTGACTTGTCAGGACTCGTGACGGGAATGGTAAAGCCAACTGTAGACATTCTGTGGTGAGTATGTTGTTTAATTGAGTCGAGTTTAAGAGGACTGTAAGATTCTTAGGCAGGACTAGTATACTATCTTTTCTTGCTAATATTTCTTGTACTTTTGCTTCTTACACGTGGGTGCTGCTTCCATTTTGAAGGTTTACCTTGAGAATGAAGCTATTGACTGGTCAAAGGGGTGTTGCTATATTGTACGCCTACATGTTACTGGGCCTGGGTTTTCTTAGGGCTGTTACCCCTGAATTTGGCGATTTGGCAAGTCAAGAACAACAGCTTGAAGGAACCTTCAGGTAAAATGTTTTTAGTTTCACTTCTTAACCACTAATGTTCAACTGCACCGAAATAAGAATCATACTTATTTTGGCATCTTGCATACATTAGGTTCATGCATGAAAGATTGCGCACTCATGCTGAATCTGTTGCTTTCTTTGGAGGTGGTGCTCGAGAAAAAGCTGTAAGCTACCCTCAACCTTACATGTCTTTTCATATAGATGACAAGTAGTGTTAAGTTGTTGGATTTTCGCTTTTTTATTTGGCTTTAAACATGGAGATGAAGAAAGGGGCCACATTTGACACCAAAAACTAAGAGGAATGATTTGATAACTAATATATGAACTTCGTTTTGGTCATTTCTTTTATGTACCAAAGAATACCCCATCCTCCAAATTTGTATGTATTATTAGTTTCACTACTAGTAAGTTTTTGGCATAATTTACGCTATTCATTTTGTTATCTTTAGAATGTGGTTATGGGTACAACTTCTCAAGTTTTCTGTTCTCTTCCATGTGGTGTTACTGACTACTGGCACAAGTTTCTCCCCACTGTCGTTTTCTGTTGAAGTATTGTGAGTTTATTATTCCTGTGGGCATTAGATCTGCACTCTGCCACATTGTAAAGGCTTCGCTCAGTTAATAACTATTCTCACTCTTCACTTTAATCTTATTTTGAAGTTTGTCCAATAAATTCAGTACGTGAGTTACTGTCAAATAAACTTGTTTTCAAATGTTTATTTACGTAATAGATTCTTTTTTGTTGGTCTTCATTTTCGTTTGTAACTAATTTTATGCACTGACTGGTTCCTATATACACCTTTGAAGTTACTGAATTATATGAAACACTTGAACCTGCAATTTCTCATGTCCAACCAGGCAAATTAGCATCATGGGTCAGCTTGGCAAAGATATAATTAATATGCACTCTGAGCAATATATTTGATAATTTTATGGTTTCACCAATCCATATTTAATTTACATGGTTGTTACTAAACAGATGGTTGAAACAAAATTCAGAGAGCTTCTTGACCATTCCTTGATTCATTTGAAGAAGAAATGGCTGTTTGGTATACTGGATGAATTCACAACAAAGCAACTTCCACATAATGTAACTTGGGGGTTGAGCTTGTTATATGCCATGGAACACAAAGGAGATCGGGCATTGGTATCCACTCAAGGTGAAGTTTGAGAGGCACCATACCTCTCTCTATCTCTACCTTCCTTCCCTCTCCCCCTCCTCCCCCTTCCTCCCTCTTCCCCTTTCTCTCTCTGTCTCCGTCTCTCTCACATATAGAAGAACGTTTTCAGGTGAACTTGCTCATGCGTTACGGTTCTTAGCATCTGTTGTATCTCAGAGCTTTTTAGCCTTCGGTGACATTCTTGAATTGCATCGGAAGTTTGTGGAACTCTCTGGTGGTATCAATCGAATTTTTGAGCTTGAAGAGCTTCTAGATGCTGCTGAGTCTGGTAAGTGTTGTGTTATTCTTTACAAGCATATCAAGAATGCGTCATCTTTGTATTAATTTTAAGAGTCCTAACTAAAGTGCATGTGCTTAGAGATAGAAGTGCGTAAATTTTATTTGCTTCTAGAATTTATTCTAAAAGATCTATTTTCTTAATTATGAAAATTTTTCCCTCATGTACTTTTCTGTTTGTTCTATTCTGAGGTACAATCCTTTTTATGGCCTTTCTCCCTTTTTTGATGAAAGTAGATGATACTCAGTCACTGTCTAAAAGGAAACATATTTCCTCTGAGGATGCCATTACCTTCTCTGAGGTCGACATCATCACCCCTGCACAAAAATTGTTGGCTAGGAAATTGACATGTGATATAGTACCTGGAGAAAGCCTGCTCGTTACTGGTTTGTGACTTTTATTTGATTTGATTTATACATATATTACTATACTATATCTTATACAAGGATTAACAATAACAAGTATGAAATTGTTTTAAGGTCCAAATGGGAGTGGAAAAAGTTCTGTTTTCAGAGTTCTTAGAGGCCTTTGGCCCATCATGAGCGGGAGGCTCACTCATCCATCACAACATGTCTCTGAAGAGGTCGGCTCAGGTTGTGGTGTGTTCTATGTTCCTCAGCGGCCGTACACATGTTTGGGAACCCTTAGAGATCAAATTATATATCCTCTCTCCCAGAAGGAAGCAGAGTTGAGGGCATTGAAGTTCTACAAGAAAGGTAATTTGGAGAACGTTTGTTTTACAAAATACTTGCATTCTACCAACTCAGATACAAATTTTAACTGTATTTGAAATATCCTAGATGGTGCAAATTCAGATGAAAATTCTTCCGATGCCAAAAATATTCTGGACATGCACTTGAAAAGTATCCTGGAAAATGTCCGACTGAATTATCTTTTGGAAAGGGAGGAAAGTGGCTGGGACGCTAATTTGAATTGGGAAGATATTCTCTCTCTTGGAGAACAGCAAAGATTAGGCATGGTGTGTAAATTAAGCTAATGTTTAGTACCTCGATTATCTTGCTTCTTTAAAAAAGTCTATCCATTTAAAATGTCTTTCACGTATGACGTGATTATTAATTAATTAATTAATTTATTTATTTTTACCAGGCACGCTTATTTTTCCACAAGCCTAAATTTGGCATCCTTGACGAATGCACAAAGTACGTGAGACTGCCCAATGTTTTAGTCTTTTACATAACCTCAAAATAAATGTTAGCTAACATCCTTGGGTTTTTTCTTTATATATTTTTTATTTTATTTTATCTAGTAGTCCCATTCTCATCTTCTGGTCTTGAAAATGGCAGTGCTACAAGTGTAGACGTTGAAGAACATCTTTATAGGCTCGCAAAGGACATGGGTATCACAGTAGTTACATCCTCACAAGTAAGTGCTGCTCCAACTATAATGAAGATGAGTCTTCGTTGGTGGTTCTTTACACACACATATGTATGTATGCATGCATGTCTAGCTGGTTTTTGGGATGTTCCGTAATTTGGCAGGAGTGATGAACAACCAAAAAGCATCTGGTTTACCGTTGCAATTTGAGCGCTTACTTTAAGCTTAAGCTTGAACATGAACGCTTTTTGTTTTTCTTTCTGTGTTTTAAGTCAAAATTTTTATACTTTTTTCCCCTTTTCCCCCTTTCTGCAGCGTCCTGCTCTGATACCATTCCATTCGATTGAATTGCGGCTTATAGATGGTGAGGGTAATTGGGAGTCGCGTTTAATCAAGCAATGATACAATTTGATTTAGTAGAATTGTGGCTTTTATCATTGGCGAGGGTAACTGGGAGTTGCTTTCAATCAAGCAATGAGAATTATTCTGCTGCCGGCGACTACTTGAAACTTGCTGAATGGTATTGGATCAACGTTACAAAGTTACAAGTCATGTTAAATCCAAGCAAGAGGTTATTTTTTAGGTGAAATTTATTATTTTTTAACAACATATAGCAAGATATGTTATTCTGCTCGATACATAACTGGGGCCTATAGAAAAAGGAGAAAGCCAATAACACAAGTCTTGGGGCATTACTATTAAATTGTAGACAACAAGATAGAGAGCTACATGCATGTAATTATTTCTGTAGCACAAAAGTTATTTTTGTACAGTTTTCCCCCTCATTCTAAAAGGGTTCTTGTTTTTCTGTTTTTTTTTTTTTTGCTGGAATATTCTAAAAATTATTTTTGTTGTAAGAATTAGTCTCTTAACAATACTCATTGTTAGCCCCCATATATAAATATAAATAAATGAAAAAGGCTATTTTCAATTTATCTGTATCTTTTGCGTTAATATCATAATCAGAGTTATGTTAGTTGTATCGTTTATTAAAAGAGTAAATTAGGGCATCTGGCCCCTTAATTCACTCATTTAATTTTGTGCAATTCTCTTAGAATTTTTCCATATTGTTAAGTTGATATATAATGCACCCAAAAAAAAAGTTGATATATATAATGAAAGAAATTGAAGGCCAAAGTCTACAAATAGGCACGAGTCTCTTCGTGCCGCTCAATACAATATGTGTTTTGGATTATTTTTTGCTAACACTTATACAGCCATTTCATTAAGTTCACTTTGCTGTCCTGTGCGTTACAAATTTTACCGAGAGTCCACTACAAACAAGGACTATAGAGAAGACACAAGGAACTCTTGGATAAATCTCTCGTTCCAGTTGGGAGTTTGTGAAATTGGTTGTGTTTGTTATTTACGCTTCTGATCAAGGCCAAAGGCCAAATGCAGATCTAATAGCAGTTTCCACAAGTTAAATACTCGAAAATAACAGTTTTCTGCTACTACTTGTACGTTTCAACCTCTTGACCAATTGATTCCATAAATTCTTGTGTTGTTGATAGTTTTATTGAAGAAATTGGCGAGCATCAGCATCCTTGTTTCAGGGAAGCTACCATCTTTGAAAAGGAAGCGATAGAAGATCCACCATCCGTCCAAGCTTCTATAACCATGGCTTTCATGGCCAAACTTCGCTCTCGAAGACCTTCCCCTTCCTCTGATCCGGATTCCATCAACATTTTCACCTTCTTCTCCAACTCTTGTGCACTAACCAATTCTTCTCCCAAAGATGAAGAAGATGATGGCAGTCTCAAGTGGCATTGCTAGCTTCATTTCCTCCACCAGGACCACGCTATTCATGCGCTGCTCAGCATACAATGGCCACGCCACCATTGGCACCCCACAGGTCACTGCTTCCAACACCGAATTTTACCCGCAATGTGTCACGAATCCTCCTATTGATTCTCGCCTCAGGATGGCAGACTGCGGCGCCCATGACTTCATCACCAGGCCTCTATCTTTGGTCCTTTCTAGAAACCCTTTTGGCAGCAGCGCCTCCAAGTCTGGCTCCGTCCTGTTGGAATTCAGCGGACTCTTGACCACCCACAAGAATCTCTGGCCACTCATCTCCAATCCCTTAGCCATCTCCTTGAGCTGCACCTCAGAAAACTTGCCCCTGCTTCCAAAGCACAGCAACACAACACTCTTCTCTGGCTGCAATTCCAACCATGCCAAACACTCCAACGATGCATCACTTAATCCTACTGCCCTGTCTTTGGCATCAACTATCAAAGGCCCAATACAATAAATAGGTGGAGTCACCTCGTTAGGGACACAAGCACCATCCCTAATAGCCTTGATTACGCGTGGCTCCAGAGTTTCAATAGTGTTCATTATAATTCCTTTCGACTTGGGAAGACAAGTGGCAACATTCAGAAAATAGTGATAAGCAGGATCGTCACGGTCATAGAGAGCGTCAGGCATGTCCGAGGCCTTAAGGGGTGGCAGTCCGGGAAAGCGCAGGAGTGTGTCACCCAGCTCTCTAAAGCTCCTGGTGGTGTGGTGATGAATAGTGGGAAGATAGAGAATAGCAGCAAGAGCAGAAGCACAGGATGTGAAGTAATAATAAGTTGGGATTTGTGGGTGGTAAGAGACATGGATGGCTGAGGTTACGAGAGCCAAGACTTTTGAGGTGAGAGACATGGTTGTGAGGGCATCGACAACGTTTGCGGCATTGAGTTTGATGAGTTCGAAGGTGGCTTCAGATGTGCGCTTAGGGATTGGGGAAGATCAATGGAGGGAAGAGCGAAGAAGGAGATGGGGAGAGTTGGTCTATGTACGAGGATGTGGTGGTTGTATCCACCGCCAACGGTAAGGCTGTGACCAAGATTGTTATAGACAAGTAAGGATGGTGTTGCAAGATTAGCTTTCCCAATTCCAACATGGACACCATGTGGTGGAAACTTGGTGCTCCATATAACACTATGCTTTTCTTCATCTTCCTTTTCTAACAAAACATAAACTAACAATTTCAGAGTCTAGACTGGAGACAAGATAGCGTTTAATAAGAGGCTCAGAAAGAACAACAGATAACCCTTTTTCTTGTAGCCAACGAAAAGTCAAGCCGCGACTTTTCTAAAGCCTGACCAGTTTTTCCACTCCAACAATGCTAAGTTGCTAACGTGTCAAGATTGGCTTCTAGGATTTGTCCCTTTTCTATTCTCTTTCTTTGTTCTTTGTTAGGCAGGAGACAGAAAACCTTATAATTTATATCATGCGAACCATCAAAAGAAAAGAAAACAAAACAAAAGAAACCCTTGTTCGTTGTGATTCATGATCATATTATGCAGTTTCAAAGGTTCATGACAACAGTAAAGATTCGGTACTCTTTTCCTTTTTGTTTGGTTTTTCACTTTTTCTTCATCTTTTATGTGGGGTTCGCTTATGTCATGAATCATGATGGTGGTCCTGCTCACAAGTTCTTCCACTAAAAAAAAAAAAAAAAAAAAAAAAAAAAAAAAAGGGGGAAAATACCCTTTTCCAAACAACATCGATTTGTCACGTATTAAAAAAAAAAAAAAGGGATCTCTTTACATCGAAGAGCCACCCATACTCTATAGACACATGGGCCAAATAAATTAAAATAGGATTGCGGGAAAAATCTCTTTACAACTCTTCCCTTGTATGCAAGGAGTAATAACAAATAAAGGAATTAGTCTGTAGAGCTGCAAAACCAGAGATCACGCCACGACCACATAGTAACACCAACCTCTCGTGTTAAAACTCACTATAAACTCTAAAAATGCCAAAAGCACTACTAAATCAGAAGGCATCACCAATATAAACTGCCTATAAAACTGGGAGTAAGTAACAAGGAACATTGGACCGGCACATTCAGTGAAGCCGGCCCCATCAATCACTGGAATCTATGCTTTCACTGCGAGAGCTACTCGCATTGCGACTATGCAAGGAGAGGCCCCTCACATGGCCAGCTAGACCATCAGCCTTGTTTTCCTGAAAGTATTTCTCCCTCTCGACGTGTTTCGCTGGCGGGGGGGGTATAGCAACATGTCCATTCGGTTCACGTGATGATGGCTCCAAAGACAGTGGCCGTATAAGTGGACGATTCAGCATTTCTCCGGGAATGGCTGATCCGAGAAAACCCAAGTGGGGGTGCTCTGCTGGCCGCTCTTCATCCTCAGGCCTCGCACAAGCTTTTCCTTTTCGTAACCTGTTAGGTTTTGGAATCAAGGGGAAAGTGATTTATTAATGAAGCCAACCAAAAACTCTCAATCAAGTAATAGTAAAAACCCATAAAAGATGCGACATACCTTCGGAAAAGTTGTTCGGCCTCTTCTTCTTCCTCTGCTTCTTCCTGGTTAAAATGATTCACAGTTGATCTAGGCTTAGCCGAAAGAAGGGCCTCGTGTCTTGCAAGAACTTTCTGGAGCTGCTCATTTAACTCAATAGCTCGAGAAACCACCTTCTCATCCCTGAATTCAACTTAAAGTTTATTAGAATCAATTTAAGCTGACATGCAAATAAAAACAAATGAAAAGAAATTGTTAGTGAATTGATGAGCCCCTTAAGTTGCACTGACGCCGTGCTTTTCTAAAAATCGATGAACTAATATTCTTAAACCCCCAAAGTAGCTCATCAAAGAGGGTGCAAATAACAATTACAGAAAATGCATAGAAGGGAAACATGGTGTAGTTATTGGCTAGGTTGAATTCAGAAATCAGCCTTACCTAGAAGTCATCACTAGATGCATTACCCTTTGCTTCTGAAAAGAACACTGTTCCACGAGATCAAGTGTAAACTCATCTTTTGCTCCCTAACGAACAATTCCATTAGTCATTACTACACACGCCAACTCTTGTAAGTATTTATTTTAGGAATAACCAATCAAGCTAAGTGACATGCAACTAAGATGTAGCAGGCTGAAAGGATATCTATGCATGATTACATACATATGTGACTTTTAAACGTTAAACCCGAAGTATACGTACATGCCGGTTCTCAATACTACATTTCATGAAAGCAAAGATTTCAACCAAAATAAGATGACAACTATGTGCCCAGCACCTCCACAACCATTTCCCTTTCCTTAAATTTTTAAACATTTTTCTTCTTTTTCTGAAAGCGCCTTATATGACCACTAATGCCAAATATAAAATATGATACCCCATGCAATTCAACTTTTTGCAAGGCAAAATTTATAGTCCAGAATAATAGACCAGAAATATACCTCGGGATGCTGACTATCCACAGCATCAAGAACTTCTTTCAAAACCTCCAATACATTACCGGCCTTTTGAATGATACTGCATGAAATAGGTAGAGACCGATTAAAGCTATTGCAAAATAACATACTTCTGCCCTCCAATATCACAAAACTACAAAAAGAGATGATGTGCAGCGCTTAACCTCCCTACCCACCCCTGTTCCCCTCTTTAAACAGGTTTCCTTCTTTGGACAACTTGAACTTTCAAGAAACTTTAAATATGTTCACCGAAGTATGTTAAAAGTTTCATTATAAAGATACCTCGATTCAGGAACGTCTTGTGGCTCTGCTTGCCGCGCAAACCCTTCATGTCTAGATGATGCCAATTCCCCGTTAGGCAAGTTATTGTTATTTGGTTGTGGGGTGGGGTGATCTGAGGAGACTGCAGGGGGCCTTTGAGGAAACTGCACTCCTGCACTCTGAATACCATACCATACACAACTAATATCAGTTAACATTAAGATATGTTTCCTTGTGAGAAACATGACTTAATTTCAAATGAGAAGACAAGGTCACCCTAAGACCATCCACTACAACATGATAGCAGCAATATCACCAAGCTTCAAGAATATACTAGCACTCCACCTAAGAGATAGCAGTATAATAAACCTCTCATATAATAATACGTTATTATAACTCTAATAGTCAACATTTACACCATTCTCTTAGAGTGCCTGATTGCCATCTCCAGTATCACGCAACTCATAGAAATCAAGATCTTTTCCACAAGAACTATTCCTGATCCCATTTATATTTAATTTGAGTTTTCCAACTATGTACCACTAATTATTATAATTCCACAACAGCAGATTTCTTTTACAATCCAAATAAGAAACAGCAATTATACTTGTTGCCACTACATTTTCGTGTTCTTAGGCCCCAACTACAAGCATGAAGAGATTGCAAGTCAACACCATGTACTAACTCACAAATCTAAAATCATTTCACAAATAAATCGCGTGATCATATGGATGTTGCAATTTTTTGCATACCACTAACTCGTAATAAGCATTGTAGTACTGCGGGAACTTTCCAGAAGCACCACCAAGAGATGTCTGCGTGGCATCTAGAAGAAGAAATATCCGCTCTCGCACTGGCAAGTCCGACTACGAGACAGGAAAAAAAAAAGTTGATATCATGTTCAAATCAAAGCAGAACACATTAAGTTGATAGCTCACAAAGGTCAACATAAAGGCAGGTAGGAACCTTTTTCTTAACTATCTTCACAAGAATGGGAATAATCCCTGTATCAATAACCTGCTTATGAATATTCTCTCCAATATTGTTCATCAACATTTCTAACAACTGCATGTCAAAATTAACAAATGGAGGGTTTATTAGCAAGCAACGACACAACATATGAGAATCATACTAAACTAGCAACATCGACCACGTGTTCAGTTAACAAGTAAAAACATTTAAAAAAAATAAAAATACTACTTCTATGAAAAATTTCCTCTCATCTTGCCTGATAAACCGAATCAAACTGCTCAAAAAATATAAATGCAAAAACATATTCCGAAGAAAAGAATCTATACTTACCAAAACAGCATACAACTGAGTATTTGTATGTTTACTACCCAATCGCTTTTTGATTGCTTTAATAACATCTTTAGCTTGTCTGCATATATACAGCCACAAAATCCATCTTAAAAAATGTCAAAGGTGTCGAATTAGATGAAATCAGTTAAGTTTGGATGATTTGCGAGCTACTGTGCTCAGAACCACAAGCTAGCTGACAGAGAGAAAATGACAAAAAGGAAAAGGGCACGAGTGAAGCAGATGAGGAGGAGAAAGGAAGGGGAAAACCGAAAAACTCATAGTCCAAATGTTCAGAGAACCCCATAAAAGAATATTCACAAATTAGAAGCATTGAGTCAAACCTTTGATCACGAGCGACTAATTCGCAGATTTCAATATTTTTCGTCCAATCCATCTCAGGCAGTTTGTCACTAGTTGCACAATTGACAAGCTCAGCTGCCATCTTCTAAATATTCCTGGCATTCCACAATATGAACAGAAAGTAAAAGCATGAACAAGAACAAGTGCTCACATCAAGTGAACTTTCTCTAATAACTTTCCAATACATCAATTTGTAAGTGGCGATATTCTTAATTGAAGAATTTAAGTTATAACTGTCGCGCAAAGGGTAACTAAAAATACATATCAAAAACTGAAGTAACAACAAAATGAGCCATGAACGTGGTTTTTTAGCATATTTTGTGTCGCTAAAACCATAGATATTTGTGGTTGGAAGGCTTTAGCCTAAGAGCTATTCCACACCCACGAACTGCATATCAGAGTTACCGCTCAGTGACAAGCACCAGAGAAAAACACTCCAAAATCAACAGAAATGAAAAATACATAAATAAAAAAATACAGTACGTACAATTCAATGATTCAGCAAAAGAAAAAAAACGTACAATTCACTGACAGAAGCAGTAACAAATTATTATGTGTGTGTTGTTGAAGTTATCAGCAGCACTCAGCAACAGCAGCAACTTCGAAATTGATTCAGAAAGCGTCCTTTAAACACTTGTTCTACTCTGCAAAAGCCCAATTTCTCGCAACAAATTATTACTTGACCAAATTTTCTAGATTTTCGTGCTCACACACATAATCTAGGAAAAGTAACTATCAGATCTCAATCAAAACATTCACAGACAAAAATCAAACAAATAAATAAATACGAAAACCATGGATCAAAGTTAGCAACAAACTTTATACCCGAACCATAATCAATCAAGTTTTAGGGAGAAGAACAAAAACAGTACCTGATCAGATGATGAATGGGAAGGCGAGCTGATGAACCCTAAATAGCCTCAGCATTCCGGCACTGGAAGATGAAATCATATCATAGGAGAGAGAGAGAGAGAGAGAGAGAGAGAGAGATGATCCAATGGAAATGAAAATCGTCGCTCAAATTAATACAGAACAAAAATATATATAGTGACTGCTTTTTAATTTTCCTTTTTTGTTTTTTTGTTTCTAAATCAGCTTTGCTAAAGCTGCTGCTACTGGGTGGTGGCTTCTCTTTTAAGGTAATAACACTAATAACAATAAAGCGAATAATAAATAAAGAAATAAAATCGGATTACGAAATAAATAAATTAGCAAGAAAAATAGATGGGAGAAATGGAGAACCGAGCAGAAAGAGGGTCAGAATTCAGAAAGATGGTGTTAGAGAAACATATTTATTAGACAGAGAGAATTTATTTATATTTGCGATATTTTATATAAAAAAGAAAATGAAAAAGAATCTGAAATTGGTTTTTACTATTGTTCTAGACTTCTAGTTTTATTTTGTTTTAAGTTGGAAAAATTTAGAAATAAATAAAAATAAATATAAAGTGGTGGGTGGTACAGCGTGGCTTTTGGAATTTGGGCAATAACATAACAAAACAGAAAAAAAGGAGGAGGCAGCAGCACCGCCCTTTGAGCAAAGGGACTGTCTGAATCTTCATTACAGCAATTCTTCATTTAATTAAATATTAAATATTAATACTAAATAGTATTAGAAAAAAAAAAAAAGGCATTTCTTTGGGTTTCTACCCTGTCACCCCCTACCCATCCATTTCTTTGTTTTTCCTGCTTTGTAATAATGACACGTGTATGCACTCCAAAAATCTTCCACAGAATTTATAGGCGTTTCAGTTTTTATGGAATGTATTTTCCAGCAAAAACAAAAAAAAAAAAATTATGGAATCTATTAATTAAAATAGAGCTAGGCAGGGCGATAAAAATAAAAATCACAAAGATTAAAAATGAAAGGTATGGAAGGGGAAAAAAGAACATCTTTTCGTTAAGGAAAGGTTTATTATATTCTTTAAAGAATATCAACTAAGCAGATCTAACTCCTTGTTGAAATTCCCATATCATAATTGTTCAAAAAAGAAAACACACACACAATGAGAAATACTAACTATCAAACATTGTTGGATGCACATGCATGTGGATAAAAAATCAGTGAATGTGCCGAATACTATTATTCTTCTTGTCCTCGTATGTGTCCATTACCTCTTTGATTTGACCAAATCAATTTACCTTTTAAAGAGCTAGTCCAATTATAAATTTATTACAATTACAACTACTCTGTTGAATTTTGGATGCACAGCTATATATAATATATACACTATTTATTACAAATACCATTTTTTTTTTTTTTTTCAAGCTAAAAATCATATTTTTCTTTTAACTTTTCAGAATCAACTTGAATTCTTTATCAGTCAAAACGGACAGAGACAGTGTATATAATAATAAAATAGGAAAGAAAAATGATAAATACAAATTTTTAAATGCAGCACAGAAACCAGAGTACACCCAGAGAGGAGGTTATCACGATTGGTACAAGTGTGGTTTCGTACGAGACAAATGGCACTGAAGAGAAGCGAGTATAATGTGTATTGTACTCTCGCGGGTGGTGATGAATAACTTTGCAGAGTGGAAAGGAAAAGGAAGGAGACTCGTAGAAATTAGAAAAAGAAGAGAGAGAGACACGTTATTGACGCTTTGTACGAATGAGAGTGTCGTGTAGAGTCTTGCAAGGTTGTGCTTTGTTGTACTATAAATTAAACACATAACTAGGTTTTTATTTTAAAAAATAATAGGATAAATTACACACTTTCTTCCTAACCTTGTAATAAAATACTTCTTAAATTTTAAAAATAACATATTTTTCTTTAAATAATTAGCCGCGTCTTCTTTTTTCCCCACTTCAATTAAATTTTAAATGTTAAGTATATGTGATTCTCATTTTAAGAATAAATAAGTAATTTTCCTACGAATAAAATTTGTTAGAAATAAGAATTTTTTAATGCTTAAAATAAAAAAAAACATAATATTAAAAAAATCAAAAAGGAAAATCTCTCTCTCTCTCCAGTCCTCGACAATCTCTCTCTTGATTTCTCGACAATCTCTCCATCCCCAGCTAGCCACCGGCGAGCCCCAGTCACCCTCCGGTGATGCCCACCTCGCGTGACCCCAGCCCTGGCGAAACCTCACCACCGTGAGACCCACCTCCGGTGAGCCCATATCTATAGCCACCGACCCCACCCGCGCGACCCACCTACTGAACTCAGCCCCAATCTTGCTAAATTTTACTCTAACATTCCATGATTTGGCACTAGATTCGCGTTGACATCAGTGCCTCCCTTGTGAAATTTCTAGTTGAAGTTCAGAATCTTAAGCCTCCATCCACCGAAACCTACTCACCGTGTGTGTTTGACGTTCGATCTTTGTCGTGTTCTGCTAATTTGTATGTGTTTTCCTGTTCGTTTTAATTTGCTATTTGAACTTTACTTCTTGTTGGTTTGTTGTAGGGAGTGAAAAAAGTGGAGGATTGTTTGTTGTTATTTTTTAAGGAGAATTATTTGATTTTTTTTTTTTTGGGAAAAGATTTTGATTTTGAGATATTAATCTGTTTGGTTTCATTGAATAACTAGAGGCCGTTTAATTTGCTGATTCGAGTTGAGATGTGACTTTATGTGAGAGCTTTTTACTGTAGTAAAAAAGTAAGAAGTGACTGTTTCTGATAGCTTTTTACTATAACAAAACTCAAATTCTAAATTTAAATTGGTGAAATGAACATGACCTAGATATGTTTGGTTTTGATATGTGATTTTAATTTTGGTAGATTTGGGTTTTAAGGGCAAAATCGTCATTTCATAATAGAATAAAAATTAAATGCTTTAAAGATTTTCATGTGGTACTTAACGTCCAAATTTTAACCGATGAGGCAGAAAAGAGAGACGCGTGTTAACGGCTACTTATTCAGAAAAAAAAATGTTATTTTTAAAATTTATGGAGCATTTTGCTACAAGACCAATAATTAAGGGAGTGTAATTTGTCCAAAATGATATAAAAAGTAAAAACAATGAGAAATCTCCCACACCCAAAAAATAAAAAATACTTCTAGAGCATTATTGTTTAACCAAAAGATTTTAATTAAGTCTTGTCAATTTTATATTGTATTCCTTAATAAATGCATATTAGAAATATATATATATATATATTTTTAGGAAATTAGAAATATATATTTTGATGAATTTGAAACATGAGATGAGACATCTTTTATGTTAATATAAATTTTTATCATAACCAGCATTCATAAATCATAAACATGCGCGATTGGATGTGGATGCTTTATTATGAAAAGCTATTGAACGTAATCCCCCTTTTTTTTTAATTTGGTTTTTTTAACCGAGAGTCTCTCTTGTAATCTGCACCATTGATAATCTATGTTTTTAACTGTTAAATTTAGTTAAAACATATTAAATTAAAAAAATATACATAATAAACAGATTCTAATACAGACAACAATTGAGAAGTAAAGACTACCGGTAATCTATTTTTACAGAAACTACCAAAGACAATTCCTTTTTAACCATTTTTTAATTTATTTTTTTGAAAGTTACAATTTTATCTTAGAAATTCTGTTTTAGTATATTTTTATAAATGGTGCATTGATTGACACCCCTCATTCTACTTTTTACATACTTAAATCACCACTCATTCTACTTGTTATACCCCTCTTAAAATTTTGAAAAAAAGACCTACAATTAAATTGTTGGTTTTCCTTTTTTCACCCACCAACCAATCAAATTTATTCCCTTTTTTTTACAGCTATTTTCCTTTTTTTTAACACAATATATGATCATTAATTTTACCAAATACCCAATTTAATGAAAAGGTGTACAAGATTCAAATAAAGTATAAAGGAGAATATGAACACAGTGATTTATATAAAATTATACATTATATAATGATAATGTATAGTAATTCGGATGAAAGATTAACCATTTTAGATTATTCTATTTCCAAGGGAGTTTCTACATCAAATGTCTCCCAATAAAAATCACCTTGAATTGGCTGAAGTAACAACTAATTTATGAAGTACTAATTCCGACGACTACTTGAAGTAGTAAATTATTAATGGTTATTTTAGTAACATTAGAAAAGAGTGTGTAAAAAGTAAAAAATTGAGTGTCACTATTTTGTAATAAGTGTTTTCTAATTTTTTAAAGAAAGTGTTTTTCTTAAATAGTAAGTATGTAATTCAAAACAACTCGACTAAAAAAAGTAAGATTTACTGGAGTGAATTAAGTTCAAATATCACTTTAAAACCTAATTATTCACCAATAAAACAATTATAAATAAGCTCAATATGTCCAAAAAGATTAATATTTTTGAATACAGTTCAACGCCCTATAAAATTCTTTAAAAATACATAAATAAGCTCAAATATATCTAAAAAATAATATATTGAAATACCCTCTCCCTAAAAGTTGAGTCCCAAAAACACATTCTTTTTAGCAAAATAATTTTGGTTAGATTTTGGCTGCATCTTTCTTTCTACGTAGGATTCATTATTGCGTTGCCATTCTTGTGTTCCTGCAGTGTCAACCTTAACCTCATGCAACCAAATAATTCCCTCCCAATGAATTTTCTCTATCACCACTTGATCTTATCCTACGTGGAATACTGTTATTATGTATCCCTTTATATTATTTAACAGCTTTATCACATTTTTCAAAAACACAAATTTCCAAAAAAAATTTCATCAACTGGACCATATCTGTACACACTTATCCAAAATGAATAAATAAAACATAGCTGGAGTTGAACTGTAAAGTGAGATTTTTATTACTGATCACATTATTCGATTAATTAGCTAGATTGTATGATTGAAAAGACTCAAAAGAAACTTCAATCCAGAGAAGAGTCCTAGCTAGTAGAAAAATGGGTTTTTCTCCTATATTGAATTTAATATGCGGTGGCTCCGCCGCTAAAATACTCCTCTGACGATCATCATCAGCAGCAGCAGCATATGCTAATGATGTGGGTAGTAGATAATCATCGTCGACAATGGTGGGCCATACGTGTGATGAGAATAGCAGAAGCAGACGATATCACTCTGGTGGGCTGCCGTCGTACATGCGAGCCGCCGTGTTCAGGGAACCCAATGAACCACTCTCTGTAAGAGGAATTCGGCATTCAAAAAAAAGCATTCCTCGTCCCAAAGCCGGTGAACTAGTTCTCATCAAAACCAATTAACCAAAGGTAATATATCTTTCTATTTCTATGACTATTGTTGTGCGGGAAAATTGACGCTGACACGTCAGATAATGACTATGTCTCACGTGACCCATGCTTGTCACGTCAGGCAGTTTTCACGCTTAGGCATTTTCTCCTCCTGTATGGTACGAGAGTTGAGTGCATAAAGGAGCTGAGACTGTCGATCTTATACACAGTTAAGCCCTGTGAGATCTGTTCGTACAAGTATCATGATAGAGTCGACTAAGAGAGAGGTCACGCATGGCAAATTTTGGTACAGGCGCAGAGGACAAAACGCGAGGAACTGGATCCACATTTCAAGAAAGATCCCTGAGGTGACCAGCTGAATATCTCAAGATTACGTCTGTGTTTAGAGAATGTCAGTTGTACAAGAAATGATTATAAGCCCTTAAAATTACCTAGAACGGATCAATAGATATTACAGAGAATCTACAGAGCCGTAATGAGAGGACAATTTAAATGAGTGAACAGTAAAAAAAGTACTGACAGACTACGGTCTAGACAAATGAGATAATATGTCACTCGAGTGAATTAGCCCATTGGAAAGAATCGTCAAGAGGCCCAAGCAGCCCACCGTTAGATAAGGCTCCCATGTAACCTATAAGCTATAAAAGGGGCCAAGCCCCCGACAAAACATCAATACGAACTCTAGCATATTCAGTTAAATTACAGGTTTTAAGCCGGTAACCTAACGGGTCACCACAGGACAACCCGGAGTAATCTTATTAACAAAATTCTACTGTCAACAACTATCTATCCATCATTTTTTTCCTTTTAACTTTTTGTTCTTACTAGTTTTTGCTTGTTGCTTGCTTATAACAATACGCACGATGCCTTTTTCACTCTCTCCATTTTTATTTGTCTTGTTTAGGAGTTTAGTTTAGTAAAAAAAATAAAAAATTAAGATGGTATCTAAAAGTGTGTTTTTAACAAAGACTCCATTTGTCATTAATTTTGCGAGTTCGAATTATGTGTTTTTAAATATTTAAGTTTAAATTAAAAGTGTTAAATAAGTTTTTACTCTGTTGCAAAGTAGTATTCGAAAGCGTAAAGTTTGAACAAAATATAAAACATCACATCTAGTAATAAAGTTTGAACTGGTGTTTGATTAGTATGAGAATTGTGAGTAAACCAAAAATAAAGTCATGGTTTTAAATCAAAATATGTAGGAAATAAGTTTAAATCCATGAAAACTTAATGGGGAAGTTTGAGAAGACATGATTGCAGTAAAATACTCAAAATGCCCCATGTATCTAAACACCACTTTTACCTTTTTTTATTACACAAACGCCCAAAATACAGTGTTTATAAAATCAAACTCAAGATACCCCCAACTGTTAAATTTTTGAAAATACGTCACTGATTTTGAGCAATTTGACTTAGTGTTCATGTTTGGTGCGTCTTTTTCATAGCATAACCTACTATGATCACTCGCGCACAACACACACACATTCACATCTTGTATTAATTGATATGTTTCTTCAATTACGAGGCACGTGACAACTAGAAGGATTACTATTTCCATCTTGTTGCTTTTCAGGTTTCTAATTGGATCTCATGTTGTTGGGGCTTTTATCATGCCTTGTGGTAGCTGTTCCTTCTGTTCCAAGGTAACAACGCTTCGCGACTCTACGACTTCTGGCGTCGCATAAGTCTATTCCATGGATGCTTTAGTCTTCTTAACCTTTGAAGAATAATGCGTCTTTACTCTAAAGCCGTTGTGAAACAGGGCCATGATGATTTATGCGAAGACTTCTTTGCTTATCGTTCAAAAGGAATTCTTTATGATGGTGAGACTATGCTGTTCCTCCCTAGTAGTGGTAAGCGTATACGTCACACGAATTTATGCTTACAAAATGTATTTATTTATGCCTCTTAATACATATTCTTCATGATGTAGAGCAACCAACATTCATGTTTTGTATTGTATGGGGGGTCTTGCCGAGTTCTGTGTTGTGCCAGCCCATGGATTGACTCTTTTACCGGATTCATTACCATATGCAGAGTCTGTAATTTTAGGCCGTGCAGTATTTACTGCTTATGGTGCAATGGCTCGTGCGGCTGAAGTGCGACCTCGAGATTCTGTTCCCGAGGTTGGAACTGGAGGTGTTGGCTCTAGGTGAAAACAACATGACAATGTTGTCATTAAACGAATGTCTTTGTATTTTCCTTATTTTACCAGTCAGTAAAAAGTCTGGCAAGCCTGTGGATTCATGAAATCAATTGACAAACGGTTTTAGATGAGTTGACAAATGTGAAAATAGTTTAGCCTATATTGTCTGAAAATTTACATTTCCAATTAAAGAGACGCGCATCTTATTTCTTTTGCTCCAGTTGTTTGTAGATAGCAAGAGCATTTGGTACCTCTGATATAATTACTGTGGATGTCCAAGATGAAAACCTGTAAAAAGCTAAGATTTTTGGTGCTACTCATGCTATGAATGCAATCAAAGAGGATGCTGTTGAGACGATAAGAGTACGAGCCTCTGATATAATTGCTGTGGATGTCCAAGATGAAAACCTGTAAAAAGCTAAGATTTTTGGTGCTATGAATGCTATGAATGCAATCAAAGAGGATGCTGTTGAGACGATAAGAGTACGATTCTCCTTTGCTTGTTTTTTTTTTTTTTTTGGCAATTCAAGTATTTTTGCTTAGTTGTTCTTATTTCTCTTGTTGAGAACAGGAAATAACCGGAGGACAAGGCGTTGACATTGCTGTGGAAGCCCTTGGGAAAACTTAAGACCATTTTGTAATGCTTTGAAAGCGTGAAAGACGGAGGGAAACCTGTGATGACAGGAATTCAAAAGCTGGTGCAATTGGGAAAGTAGATATAAACTGTCTTGTTCGTAGAAATGTGAGTGAAGTAGATTTAAATGTTATTGAGAGTCTGGAATGAACCGTCTTTTTCCAACATCATATCCATGAATCTTTGACCAAAATAGTTGTTTCTGTGTAAGCAGAATAGGATTTGATTAAGTGTACGGGATTGATGTTTGGTAGATAAAAGCGGTTGGATCATATGGAGGAAGGGCAAGGCAGGATCTTCCAAAGCTGGTGCAACTGGCGGACTAGGTTGATTCAATCTGATGGATGCTGTTTCTAGAAGGTATAAATTCGAAGACACCAACAAGGCATTCGGGGATCTCAACGAGGGTGCCATTGTTGGCCGAGCTGTGGTTGAGATAATGTAGTTGTCTTTTCTTCTTGTTTGCCTTTATACAAATGCACTACACCCTCTTATGTGTCACCAAAAACAAAAGGAAAAAAAAAAAACTGTTTCTGAGTAACCAGGTTTCGGATGTTACTTTGAATACTTGTCTCTTACCCTATAGGAATGAAATGAGAAAAAAAAGCTATAGATGTTTGTCACACTTTTTGGTGTTGCTAAGTTTTCTTCAGTCGTTTATATCCAATTTAATTGAAAAAAAAAAAGAAAGAAAAGAAAAGAAAACAAACGCCGAAGATTTCTCTCACTCTAGTCAAATTGAAAAGAAAATGAGAAAATGAGCCGGATAGATTAAAGAAAGAGAGTTGGAAAGAAAATGTCTGATGGATTTTTATTTTATAGTTTTATTGCTGTTGTTTCTCCTTCACTTGATCTTATCCTACATGGAATACTATTATTAAATTGTCTCACCTCAATTGATCTTCACTTGATTTTTGTTGTGGTTGCCTCAATTGAGGTGATATTCATTAAAAAAATATATATATTAAATTGTCTCGTAATCACCTTATTATAATTATTATTTTTAGATTTGTCAAGGAAAAAAAGAATTGCAAAGCAGCCTTTCATCAATCGAACCATATATGTGTACATACTTATCCAAAACACAAATAAATAACCATATTTAAACATAGCTAGAATTGAACAGTAAAGTAAGCGTTCATATGATAATGATCTATTATTATATTATTATCCATGTTACATGTTATCGTGTTCTTGATTCGAGTCAAAAAAAAAAAAAAAACTCAAACTTTGGATGATGAGGCAGACTTCAGAGTATAATAAATAACCCACGAAAGTCCAAACCAAGCAAAGCACCCAACCCAACCAAAATATCAGTGGAGACTTGAGAGCAGAGTAGAATAGTGATCGGAAGGAAGGAAAATGGGTATTTCCCCCATCTTGAATTTAATACGCGGTGGCTCCGCCGCCAAAAGACTTCTCTTTGCATCGTCATCGTCGTCGTCATTAGCAGCAGCAGCATATGTGAATGTGGGTATTGTTTTGGGTAGTAGATCATTATCATCGTCCTCCTTGGTGGGTCATACGACTACGACTGATAATAATCAGAATCACAATCACCACAATCACAATCAGAATAGCAGAAACGGCAGATGGTATCATTCGGCGGGAGCAGGGCTGCCGTCGTACATGCGCGCCGCCGTGTTCAGGGAACCAAATAAGCCACTCGCCCTGGAGGAATTCCACATCCCTCGCCCCAAATCCGGTGAACTTCTCATCAAAACCAAAGGTGTCTATACCTGTCTATCTATCTATCTGACTCACTCACTCATTATCCAAATGGGTCTTCTTAATTACTAGACTAAGTGGGGTTTGTCTCAATCTCTTTTCATTGGAAGAAAAAAAAAAATGATGCTCTTGATGTGGGCAAGGAATTCAATTCTTAATCCGTTTAGCTTGCTGATTTGAGTTTTTAGTTTGATTTGAGATATGAATTTATACGATAATTTTTTATTATAATAAAAACGTTAGATGTGACTGTTTTTAGAGTTTTTTATTGTAATAAAATTTAAATTTTAAATTCGAATTAGTAAAATGAACAAAGATTTTACTGTAATAAAATTTAAATTCTAAACTCGAATCAGTAAAATGAACAAGGTTGCCTTATGCTGTCTGTTGGTTGTCTTAGGAAATGTTGCTAGTTGTCTATCATGAATAGTGATAGATAGAAAAATTCCGTTTCCAGTTACTTATGATTCCCGGGTGATTTTGTTCTTCAAAAACGAATCTTCATGCGCCATTATTTCAATTAAGCTTGATAAGTTTTAGTCACCTTGATATATTATTCTATTTTGAATTGGGCTGAGAAATTCACTCTAGACTTCAATTTTGGAGGCACCACTATGAGTTTATGCTAGATTAAGCCTGCTGCCTTGATTTAATCATGTAGCAACAAGTACATAACCTCAATATATCATTTTTTGCAGTAAGGTATAATTATGGATATCTTTTTTTTTTTGGCTCTAGTAAATGTTTTACCCATCACTAGTTTTGGTTTCCTGAACATCTTTTATCTCTTTGAAAGCAATGTCTGATGCTGTTTGTGCCCCTTGTATGTAGCTTGCGGAGTTTGCCACTCTGATCTCCATGTCATGAAAGGTGAAATTCCATTTTCTACCCCCTGTGTCGTGGGGCATGAAATAACTGGTGAGGTTGTTGAACATGGACCCCTTACGGACACCAAAATTGCCGAAAGGTTTGCGTCGTTGAATTTGCACAATTTATTGTAGTGTCCGTGTTTTTATATAGCACAAGGTAATATGATCATGCACGCACAACAGACACACACACACACTCATTCACATCTTGTATTGACTATCATCTTTCTTTGATTATGAGGCAGATGACAACGAGAAGGACCATCATTTTCATATCTTTTGGTTTTCAGGTTTCCAATTGGATGTCATGTTGTTGGAGCTTTTATCATGCCTTGTGGCAATTGTTCCTTCTGTTCCAAGGTAACACTATTTTGTCATTCTAGATTCTACTACTACTTTTGACTTCATAAATGCTTTCATGGACGCTTTAATGTTTCACACTTCCTTGAGGAGTATATCGAATTCATCATCAAGGATTTTTAATTTTTTTAACTTGTTTTTTAATTTTTTAATTTTTTAATTTTTTAACTTCACGTGTTTTAAAAACATCAAATGATACTCATTTTATATCTTTAAGTTCAATTACTGACAAGGTTTAAAGAAAGGGTGGGAGGCAATTTGTAGATTTCTAGTTTTAGCAAACAGGAGGTGCAATTCCTCCTTAATCATTGTCAGATAAATGAAAATGTTAGTTCGTTGTTTGTCATCTTTGAAATTGAAGAAAGTTTGGTTTCTTTTTTCCTTGTTTTTAAACCCGGCTACTTCATTGTCTTGTCTTAAATCAAAGCATCTCTCTAAAGCCATTGTGAAATAGGGCCACGACGATTTATGCGAAGACTTCTTTGCTTACAACCGTGCAAAAGGAACCCTTTACGATGGTGAGACTAGGCTGTTCCTCCGTAGTAGTGGTAAGTGTATGCTTCAAGCTCGTATCTATGCTTACAAACTATTTTTGTATATACCTTATTTACATATTCTTCATGATGTAGGACAACCAATATTCATGTATAGTATGGGGGGTCTTGCCGAGTTCTGTGTTGTGCCAGCCCATGGACTGACTATTTTACCGGATTCATTGCCATATACGGAGTCTGCAATTTTAGGCTGTGCAGTATTTACTGCTTATGGTGCAATGGCTCATGCGGCTGAGGTGCGACCTGGAGATTCTGTTGCAGTGATTGGAATAGGAGGTGTTGGCTCTAGGTAAAGACAATAGCGATTTTCTTGTCATGAAACAACTGTCTTTGTAGATACTTGGAGTAGATGAGTTGACGAATATATGAACACATATATGCCTATATCATATCAAAATTTGCATTTCCAATTAAAGAGGCTCGTATTATTTCTTAACTGGATATATCGTATCAAAATTTGCATTTCCAATTAAAGAGACTCGTATTATTTCTTAACTGGATCAATTGCTCCAGTTGTTTGCAGATAGCAAGAGCATTTGGTGCTTCTGATATAATTGCTGTGGATGTCCACGACGAAAAACTGCAAAAAGCTAAGATTTTTGGTGCTACTCATGCTATAAATGCATTGAAAGAAGATGCTGTTGAAAAGATAAGAGTACGATTCTCCTTTGCTTGTGTATATTTTGCAATTCAAGTCTTCTTCCTTAGTAAGTTGTTTTTATTTCTCTTGTTGAGAACAGGAAATAACTGGTGGAAAAGGAGTTGACATCGCAGTGGAAGCCCTTGGGAAACCAAAGACATTTTTGCAATGCTTCGAAAGCGTTAAAGATGGAGGGAAAGCTGTAATGATTGGACTTTCACAAGCCGGTGCAGTTGGGGAAGTAGATATAAACCGTCTTGTTCGTAGAAAGGTGAGTGGAGTGGATGTAAATGTTATTGTCATTCAGGAATAAACGGTCTTTTTCCAACATCATGTTCATGAATCTTCGAGCAAAATAATGTTGATTTGGCAGATAAAAGTGATTGGATCTTATGGGGGAAGGGCAAGGCAGGATCTTCCAAAGCTGGTGAGACTGGCAGAAACAGGTATATTCAATCTTAAGGATGCTGTTTCTAGAAGGTATAAGTTCGAGGAGGTCGACAGGGCATTCCAGGATCTTAACCAAGGCGCCATTGTTGGCCGAGCCGTGGTTGAGATAATGTAGTTGTCTTCTTATCTTCTTCGCCTTTATACGGAGGCACAACTCCCTAACTACTCTCTTGTGTTTCACCAAAAAAAAAAAAAAAGGGTTTTTATGTAACCAAACCAGGTTTCGGATGTTACTTTTAATCCTTGTCTCTTGCCCTTTAGGAATGAGGGTTCTGGAACTGGGGCTACGTATAGCCTCGTGTTTGCACTGCAATAAGTTATAAGTTCGGTTGGATTTAAAAGGGGGGGAAAAATGGTTGAATAAAGAGTATATTCGTTCTGTCACTCTTTGGAGTTTGGTGTCCCTGTGCTCAGTTTGCTACCCCACTCGTTGGTAATTTAATTAGGGGGGAAAAACAGAAACAAAGGCGTATGAATTTTATCAAAAAGCACTTTAGATTTCTCATTTCTCTCGACTCAAATCGGGAGGAAAATGAGAAAGGAGCCAAAAAGAAAGAACCAGAGTAGGAAATAAAATGTCAAATGCAACGACGCAACATTTTTCAGTTCTGTTGCTGTTGTTTTTTATCTTGTTATTTTCCTTTTAAGTTATAATCGTCGTCATTTGATATTTGTCCTGTTAGGTGTTGCCGTTTCACATGTGATTTTACCGTTCATCGTCGTTTTTCCCCCCTTAAAAGACGACAATAAAATTTAAAAAACGTGGAAAATTAAGAAACGACGATAGCAAGTATGAGAGCCACAAAAGACCACAATACGTGCAGAAGGCATAACTTAAAAATGACTGAGAAAAGACGACAAAGAAAGTAGAAAAGCAACACGAACAAAATGGGAATAGAACATGTTAATCTTTTTGCTGTCCGCTAGTACATAATGGGAAGATAAGATGAAACACATGAACAAAAATGGTAATGGTAAGTACAGGCATAACTACTTCCACTGCAATCTGAACAATGAATGTCCCCAACAAGAACAACGGTCACAGAAATGAATTGTCAAGCATAAACACATGCTTGTCCTGTATCTCGGGGAATGGACTAGAAAAATGGACCCACCCCTTTATCCACGGCAAGCCGTGCCGCAAAACTCACCGTAGAAAATAGCATGTTAGTGAAAACTGAAGAGGCTGAACTTTATCCGATCTGTTCTGTTAAATGAAATCTCTCGCAAACCCAAATTAGTCTTCCTTCCACTTGTTGACGTACCTTAAGAAAGCATTAGCAGGATTTTCTCTTGGGGGAGCTCTAACTCGCGTTGATCTTCGCACCACGGCCTCCTCCAATGCAATCTCGTGAGTCAAGTCCTTTGTCCTCTTTTGCAGTTCAGATCTGAGAAAAGTCATTGGATTAGAATCAATATTATCCCTCTAATTGTTCTTCCTAGACCAGCATAAAAATTTCCCCAAGGAACTGGCAAATACGTCTCGTAAGTGGTTTGGGGAAAAAAATATATACACGGGCCTATTTATTTTCACAGATTTTGTTGATTTAAATTTTAAAAGTGCCCAGCCTAATAGTAACAATGATAACAATATTAGAATTTATAGCTAGTTAAGCACACAACAAAAGATCTTAAAAGAATTCACTGTCTAGGACATTTCTCAAGGACCATTCACCTTATTCTACTGTAGAAAATTTCCAGCTGCTTTCTCAAAGCCCTCTCTCTCTCACCCTTGCAATTTAGTGAACCCATCAATGCATCAAGCTGTTCCAAACAATGTCACCCGCAGTGAGTGATAAAAAATAAACAAGTCGATAGCATATTGAGGCAACCAAACACAATACCTCTTCCTTGCTACTGTAGTATCCCCACTGCTTGGAATCAGGACTCTCGACAAATATTCTCCCATCACGCCTGAACCACCAATATCTGTTATGATGTCTGTCTTTACCCAAGGAGCTGGTGCGTACAAAACACTTCTCCATCTCCCGTTCATAGTACTCTTTCTGTGTTTCAAGCAGTGTCAAGTGAGATAAACATAGACACATGCATTTTTTTTCCTTTAAAGAAAAAAAAAAGAAAAGAAAAAAGAGCGGAGTCCAGAGAGAACACGCACTCTTTCATCTTTATTTCTTCTCTCTGTTCCTTCTTTTAGGTCATCCTTCAATTTTTTCAGCGGTTCCTTCCTAGAAAGATCTTTTCCATTTTCTGTTGGAGCTTTCCCATTTACGTTATGTTTCTTGGCCATCTTCTTTGATGAGGCCTCTGATTTTTTGCTCTCACTATTTAGATAAGAAGAGAAGTAAGCCACAAACAGAAAGCAATTCCTTAACATTTAAGTTATCATATATTAAAAAAGAACAATGTTATTTATCACCATTAGCAATACAATCAACACAGGTGTGTTGGTATATCAGAACTGCCACAAAGCAATATGGGATCCAACAGTCATACTTTTTGCCATATCACTCTTCTGCTACACGTGCTGATGCATTTCTAGTGGTGATAAATAGCAGTCCTCATAAGTATATATATAGCAGTCCTCATTAATATATATATATATATATATATGAACTCATACCTTTTCCCCATCGCATCGTCTGGTGCATATGGAATGACCTCGCCATTTCTTTTCTTCCCTTTGTCCCCATTCTGCTTTATGTGATAACCATTTGCTGTTGTGGTTTGCATGTCCTTGGAGTCCATCAGTCCATTAACAGCAGACACGGATTTTGATTGTTCTTTCTCTTCTCTTTTCTTCCTGGCTTCCTCCAGAGCCTCCCCCCTTCTTGTTGCCCCCAAGGTCTGTCTTTGTTCAATAACTTCATCCAATTTCTCCCTAAAAATTTCTGTTTCGAGTGCATGATTAATGATTTCCCGGAAAATTCCCAATTTTGCATGAGCATCTAAAAGGCCATAATGCCCCCTCCTAATAGTTGATGTGTGAGCGACTAATTCAGGAATCTCAATCATTTCTAGCAAGTCGCACAAATACTCTGTCCAATTTATTAAAGTCATCTGAACAAACAAGGCAACATCAGAAAATTATTAAACATTCAAGCAAGGAAAAGGAAAAAAAAAAAAAAAAAGGAACCTTGTAGCTGGAAAGAGAATGAAGCAAGGAAAAAGGAGCAGGAAAAAATTTGCAGACTTATATCTTTGTATAACCAATATATGTAAATGTCTGTGTGTGTGTGTGTGTGTGGGCGTATTATATAGAGAGAGAGACAGTCAGATGGTTAACCTTTAACTTCCGATTGCGCTTTTGAACAGCCAAGAAATAGTTGCCACTGTCTTTTATGAGCAAGCGAAGAATAGCGGCATGAGTTTCCACAAGTAGAATCGCGTTGCCATCCTTATGGCAGATAGCATTTTCAAAATCTCCAAGAGAGTAGGGTGACAAGTGCAACAGCCTACCAAAAGATGAACAAAAATCCCAAACCATTAAAAGATCTCCAACACATTCCATGGGAACGTTAAAGTCCCTCGATGGAATGGGTCGATCAGTGAAGACTGGATCATCCGCACCAGGCTGCACTAGAAGGTCATCAATTGGATATTTGATAGGTTCCTCATTTGGCTGATCATCTCCTGCTGAGCCATCAATTTTCTTCCATTTACATTTCCCATTCTCATCTTTTACTTCCTGGACATGATAAAATATTAGACAAATTAATAACACCACAATTTCACCGGTAAAACAGGAAAGTCAAATATGTACAATTACCAAGTCAGTACAATTCTCTCCATCCCTTTTCACTCTCTTCTTGTTGCAGATTATAAGTCCATTCTGCAAGAAAACTTTGCTTCTCAAGTCCTCTGGGACTTCAGTTGAGATTCCGTGATTTTGTGCCAGTTTATCATGAAGGACCCAAGGAGCACTTCTATATGTAGAGTCCCGAATGAAAGATTTAAAAACATTTCTACTAAAAGGAAGCTTCTTTCGAATCAGATCTTCTCCGTTTACTGATGAAGTTTCAACAACTTTCTTATTCCGATCAAGCCATGCTACCTTATATCTAACTGCACCGCCTTCCTCAAGTACTTTCAAAATTCTGCATAAGCGCTCACTATTATCCTTCCTCGCATACAATTCAGCACCCACAAAGATGTAGTCTTGCAACTTCGCAGCTATTGAGTCAGCAAGATCTTTCAATGAAAGCATACCTGCCAGTGCAGGAGGTAGTTGATTTACACAAGAACGCATGAATACTGCAATTACTAGTATCTTATCAACCCATTCACGTGAATCTTAGAAACCGAACCAAATGAATCCAAAGAACCAAAGAGACAAAAGATAACTACTATTATCAAAAGTGAAGAACTTAATTAGTAATTAAAGGACGATCACCATCTTATGGTCAATTTGCATTACTGAGAAGAAATAAATAAAGGAATTGGTAAGTCCTCACTGTATTGGATGATTTTCAGTGCAGGTGCCACTAATTCTTTGGGCAACTGTTGAACCTTTTCCGTAGCACGTTTTTCTGACACCAAAGCCTCTTCATAGGTCAAGTTAGGCTTCCAAGTGACCTTACACGTCCAAACTCTCTGACGATACAAATTAATCCGATTCAAGTACTCACTGATCCATGTTAAGTAAACAAATAGAATCTAATGGCAAGAAGAAGAATAAAATAATCCCTTTTTATTTTAATCTTTATGTCTAAACTACTATTCGAGCAAAAGAAATATTTAAATATATATATATATATATATATATAACAAGCTAATAAAATGGTTCTCTTTGCCCTCACTACCTTTCTCAGAGACTAAAGAAAGAGAGGAGTGAAACTAACACAAAAATTCCAGCCACAAACAAGAGAAAGATAAATAAAGGAGATCTGAAACTACAAAAGGATACTGATAATCCCTAAATATCTCTTTCGTGAAACGAATTTGGTATACTTCCTCGTGAGGCTCCAGGTCCTTAGGCGGTTCTGCCAAGAGAAAAGGACTTCTTTTATACAAGGGCATCCTTTAAGTTAACACGGTCAAGCAGTAACAAAAAGCTCTTGGAGGTCCCAGGTTATAGGCAAGTCACTGCAACACATAAACAACTGCAACACATAAACAACTTCAACAATTTTCACAACAAGGTTCAAAGCGACATGAATCACAGGCATTATAGGAAGCAGCAAAAGCAGAAAATGTCATTCGGCAAAGCATAAAACAATCATCAAAAGCCTTTTATCCTCGAAACTTCCATAGGAAAACCACATTAAGAACACACACGAGACAGCAATATAACAATAGAACAAAGCTCTGGAAGAACAAAGCTCTAGAGGAAAAATAAATAAATAAAACAAAAGCAGAAAAGGAAAACCAAATCCCACAATCCACACAAAGAATTCTTTTGGAGCAAAGCAATTAACCCCCTACTAGTCAATGTCAACAGGATTCGTTTACTCGTTTATGCTTATGCAGAAACCCTAAAACAAGACAACAAAGCAAAAACGCATTCCTTGAACCAAACAATAGCAAAATAGCTTCAAGAGTTTTTGGAGTAAGAGAAAAACCCATTGGCATCAATTTAACCCACAAGTAATTTCTGCAACCACATGCAATTAGAGCAAAACCTAGAAAGGCTATAATAACGCTATAGTTTGAACCCGGAAATGGCTGCCCAATCTTTTGGACAATTCAAACTTCAATTCTCCCTGCCCAGAATTCTTATAAGCCCTGCAGAACTTCATTAAAAATATATATATATATAAATACTACCCAGTTGCGAAAAGCGAAAAATGAAACCCTAGAATGGCGAGTTCGGAGATTCCGAAGCCAATAACACAATCGGGCAGGCACCACAAAATACGGTTAAAGAGTAAGAATATGCGACTCGCATTGGCATAAAGGTTAGAAAACCGGCATTAATGGAGATTGAATGCCCAAAACTGAACCCTAGACGATGAGCTGAAGCAAAAGGAAGAAAGCGCCCAAATCACCGACAATGGACCAAACACGGCGTTGCCGCCACGAGCAGAGAGACGTAGCAATTACTCGGGAACGACAGAAAAAAGAGCGCGAATGTGTTTAGAGAGAGAAAGAACAAAATGCAGAGAGAGAAAGAGAGAAAGTGATTGAATCTTACATAGCAACGAACAGGAGCCGGTGAAGGAGCGCTCGCGAAAACGTAGAGAAGGAAGGCAAAGAGAGGGAAAGAGGAGCGAAGAGCTTCTTCTCTCCTTTGTAATTCTATATTCTCTCTCTATTTTTTTTTTAAATTTTTTTAAGTTCCATATAAATAGTGGACAAAGTTCGCACGTTTTCTCGCTTCTTTGCCACGTGGTGTCCATTTTTGTGGTAAGGTGTGTTTTTTCAAAAAAAAAAAAAAAAAAACATATATGTAATGACTCAAATTTTTAATTTGAGTTTATATGTAATTTTATATGATAATTTTTTATTATAGTAAAAAAATTAGATGTGATTATTTCTGAGAGATTTTTACTGTAACAAAACTCAAATTTTAAACTCAAACCAGTTTAATAAATGAAACTGTAATGTAATATCTATCTTGTCCCTTCCATATTAAAATAAAAAATATATAAAGAGCAAACAAATTCTTATGGTTTAATTTATTTTTTTCAACCCTAAGAAATCTCCAACTTTATATATATATATATATATATATATTGCTTTTTAAAAAAAGGTGAAAACTTACTAGTTCTCTATTTGCATCAATGACGCTCTTTATTTTACTTATTTTATATAGGATGTGTTCATTATGTATGTGAAAGAAAATTATTATAATAAAAAAGTTATATTTAAATTTATATAAGAGAAAATACTATAAAAATATGACTTGAGTCATGAAATGAAGAAGACTATAATTTTCCTTAATTTCTCAAACTACACAGAGGTATTGGTGGATCAAAATGCAATTCTAATTTATATCAATAGAATTTACTAGTGGATCCGATCTATAGTCGGGGTTAGGTTTTCTTGTATCGTGATTTTATTTGAGTCAGTATTAGTGTGTGTATTTCTTTAATTTGAACAACAGTTGCCTTTGAGAAAAAAACTACTGACGCAAATTAACGAGTACTCTTGAACTCGTAATAATTCGAATCAAACAAACAACTTGACCAATAAAGTTATATGAACCTTACCTTAGTAAATCAAAGGGGGCAGTAGTGAGATACAAACTGAGGGCGCATAAACTTGGTTTGAGAGTTCGACAGAGTTTTGATTATGGTAAAATAGTATCTTAATCAGAATCTATAAATTATTTCTTTAGAGAACTGAATTGATAAGGTACATACCAGTTCGTCCTTAATTGATTAGTTACGAATTGATAGGGTGCACTTCCTTGATTAAAGCATCGGCTCCCGTTTTAGGCGAAGCATGGGCTCGAGGAGCCGGAGTTCTCTGACATGGGCTCCGGGCTCCCTCCATTACATGGGCTCGAGGAGGCCCAGCGCCCTTTTGTTGTTGCTTTGAGAATAACTTGTATGGTCATAGTCAATCTGTCACTAATAACTATTATCGTAACAAAAAATACCCTCCAACTACAACAACAGATTTTAAACTTTTATTGTAAAAAGTATCAAGATGGGCACCGAAGATTACCTCCCGATATTAGGGTAGGTGTTAATTGCACTTACATGCCGATATTGCAGTGGATACAAACGGTTATTAACCAATATCCGGTTTCATGATGGCTATGGTGGTTAACCAAGGGTAGGACGGTGGATGACTGACAATTACTGGCTAGTATTTACGGGTTTATTTGGTAATCTAAATATCCTAGCATGGCATGACCAAATACGTAGCTATAATAAGACCAGTGGTGGTACGTGCTCCTCTAAAAAAAAAAAAAAAAAAAAAAAAAAAAAAAAAAAAAAAAAAAACAAGAAGCTATTACATTTACATTGATGTAATTTTATGTCGTTCTTCTATATCCTAGTGTCTATGCCCCCACTCTTCTATCCTTTAGGCTTTCTTAATGGATGTACTCTTCTATGTTTTGGGCTAGACAAATACTCTCTTTGAATACATCAGAATTTTTTATTTCTTACTTTTAATTAATAATTTTTTAATCAAATAAGGTATTAATTAAGAATGATGATGAAAATTTAGATTTATACACTTAAGGATAAATTCTGTAATTTTCTCTCTTTTTCTTTTCCAAGTGTTATTGGGCTTAGTTTGTTGAAAAATACCGTGACATAAGTTTAAACTTTTACTATTTATTCTTAATTAATATCATTTTAGCTAAATAATTATATTAGTAAAGAGTAATTTTTATAATTCTCTCTCTTTTGACATTTGATGTCAATTTATGAATTTTACGATTATGTGTGCTTTTATTAGATTTAAGTATGACTTAATCACTGACACTACATAACATTTTCTATAAAATATGGTTTTCCCATGACATGGCCATAAGTCATTTAAGGCCTGAATAATTGAATATGCGTCATTATCGTCAAGTTTTTTAGTTGTGACTTATGAACTCTTTTTTCTTTTTTTTTTTTTTTTTTTTTTTTTTTTTTTTCAATAGTTGTATGCTGTTTAGTAAAGTAGTGAATAGCAAGGTTTATAATTATCGGTATATAATGCAATACAAAAATACAAAAAACTAGTCAAAGGATATAAGCTAGATTCTCAGAGATCAGTGATGCTTATGGGTTGCTTCACTGAGATGTATTTATCAAATTACAAAGGATCTGCAATCTATGACTGTTATCCCTATGTAGTAAAATGTATTTGTTCTTTTTGGATGTTCAAATTAAAATTATAATAAATACACTACCATGAACTTTCATCATGGTTGTTTTAACATTTTTTGTCCCTCTCGATACGTTTAACATTTCTATGATTCCGCAAATTGAAGTACTTACAATCATCGGAAAAATTAAGTTATTTCTAACTTGACATATTAGGTAACAAGAGGTGAAAAATTTTAAATATTTCAAAAAAGGGAAAATTTTCAGTACGCTTAGCATACCGGTAGACTAAATTTTTTTAACTATTGAATTTTCGTATTTTTTTTTACTTTCACTGATTTTATATAAATTCGACGGATAGAAAACTTAACATACCGATATATTGATATATCGGAGAAGATTCTTAAAAAAATACAAATTTACAAAAACATATAACCGTTATTATAAGTAAAAGAAATGAAAAGGAATATGAGATTGTGGGCATTGATGAGGAATATGCTATCTGTTTTTTTTTTTTTTTTTTTTTTTTTTTTTTTTTTTTTTTTTTTTTTTTTTTTTTTTTTTTTGTTACTCCAAAAATGGATCTAGTGGTATACTTTATGTCCCCTAACCGCTTAAGCTATAGAAGCAATTCTGGGGACTACTACATATGTGGAAAATGTTTGAAACCATCCAACCAATTTTCACTCCTCTTCATCATGTGGGGCCCGCAAAGACCTACTTAATTTTTCACAAAAGGCAGGCAGAACACGCGGGTATGGAGTATCGAACCCTGAAATGATGAGCAAATGAGACTTAACAAAGCCATCTTTACCACTACATTGCGACCCTCAGTGGTAATGCTGTTATATGTTTGTTGTTGCCGTAGACAGTTTTTGTTATTATTGTTGCCAATTACCATTAAACACAACGTGTGCTTATTTACATCATTAAAATTTAAAAGTACATTACTGTTTGCTAATGGAGTCCACTTGTAAATACTAAAGAGACGTTTAATTCATGAGTTCAGAATTATAATTTATTATTATAATTTTTAAAATTTAAATATTTTATAAGAAAAAAATACAATAAAAAATTAAAAATTATAATTCATAACTAAATACGAACTCTAAAAATAAATATCTTATAAATATAGATAGTGACTAGAGGTCCGCAGATTATGGATCTATGGATTTGAATATCGGTCCATCGGTCATATAAATTCCAACTTGCACACAACTTGACTCTAACCATTTCACCGGTAATGTAATAAAGTGTAGTAAAGTAATAGGCCCACCAAAACAAACTTCCTTCAATTTCATTGCCCTGTAATTAAGTTTAGTTGTCTGCTCAAATGCCAGATCAGCAACGAGAAGTCAAAGTTACAAGTCAACTTTTGTGGGTAATTAAAAAAAAAAGAGTAGAAAATTAAACAAGGGAAGAGATTCTGGGTATTCACGTGATTAATTTCTTTCTTTTTTTTTTTTGAAATTTTTTTTTATCTTAATGGCTTTTCTAAGGAAAAAAGAATGACACAACAGAGAACTTATAACTATTTGAGAAGGGCTGACCATTTCTTCGGTTCTTGGAATGAAAACAATAGAGTCAAACGTAAATTACGTAATGCATGGAAAATGGCAAAAAAAAAAAAAAAAAAAAGGGGCATCCTGCTGTCCCCGTGGCTAAAGCTGTAAGGGCATGAGAAAAAGTAAAAAGCTTGTGATTATACAAACTCAGAAAAGCTATGATATTAATTAATTGAAATGATTGATCCATTCCTGGCGTCGGCAGCTAAAGCTTTCTACTTTCTCAAGTCAACGCATTTATCACACGATCGAACTCAACTGCATCTGACTCTGATTTACAACATATCCATCAATCTCTTTTATAATTGATAGACATGCCACGAAATGCATGCTAATAATGGAAACCAATGTTATTAGCTTCTCTAAACCAAACCCAAATCCATTATTAATCTTTACCCAATTATGCAGGGTTCCTTCTTCACCATCTCCATCTTCTTCTGCTCATTTACAGCTTTTCTATTCTTTCCTATCCTCACCTCCTCAGGGCCCATCTCCATCCACTCCATTCTCCCAAACTTCACTGCCTCAAACTACCAATTCATTGACCATGGTGGTGATTTCTTGTTATCCATTAACGCCACTTACAAAGCCTCCATAAGATCCACCTCCAAGTCTCAGTCACACCCTATTTACTACCACCTATGCATCGTCCATGCCGCCTCGTCCACCGTTATTTGGACCGCCAACCGCGCTACCCCGATGTCGGAGTCCTCCACGCTCTTTCTCACCGTCGACGGCCTCGCCATCGCAACCGAGCCTGGCCATGTCGTATGGTCCACTCCTAAACTCTCCTCCAAGGTCGCCGCTCTCCGTCTTCTAGACACCGGTAACCTCGTGTTGGTCGACCAGCGCAACGTCTCTCTCTGGCAGAGTTTCGATTACCCGACGGACACATTAGTCCTCGGACAGCACTTGCTCGTCGGGAAATCACTGGTGAGTTCGAGGTCAGCGGATGATTTATCAACCGGGGATTATCTGCTAACCGTAACGGGTGGCGACGCGTAGTTGCAGTGGAAAGGGACCAGTTATTGGAAGCTCTCCATGGATACCAAGGCTTTCAAGGACTCCAACTCGGTAGTGTCGTTCATGGCGGTGAACGGCACTGGTTTGAATTTGTTGGCAAGTGACGGATCGACGGCTGTGATAAAGGTGATTTTTCTCATGTCGGATTTCAGAATGGTGCAGTTGGATTATGATGGGAGATTAAAGATCAAAAGCTTCATGCACGACAACTTGGTTGAAGAATTCTCAGCACCGTCGGATCTCTGTCAAGTTCCACTAGTCTGCGGCAGACTCGGCTTATGCAGCAGCACCGAATCGTCGACGTCGAGGAGTTGCTCTTGTCCACCTGGTTTAAATTCCAAAACCTCTGAATGTGCTCCCACTAATTGGTCTCTTTCTATACCTCTTTCTTTCTGTAATTCAACTAGTAGTTATAGTACTGGTCATGTTGAACGGAATTCCTCAATTTCCTACTTAGAACTAGGCAGCAACATGGACTACTTTGCGAATGATTTCACTGGTCCTGTTAAGCACAATCTCGATTTATCCGCTTGCCAGGATCTATGCTCGCGAAACTGTTCTTGCTTGGCCGTTTTCCTTGAACTTTCTTCTAATTCTTGCTACATTATCAATGACCAATTAGGCTCCATCAAATCCAACTCTAGGAAAAACCGGTTGGGCTACTTAAAAACCTCAGTAGCTCTATCTTCTAATCATGATGACACAATAACAAATAGCAATCTTAACAGTACTGATGACAAACGCAGTTTCCCAATTGTGGCTTTGGTGCTCTTACCTTGTTTCGGATTGATTGTCATTCTCTGTCTAGTACTCGCGGCGATTCTATGGTTGAGAAGAAACAAGATAATTTCTAGAGGTGCTGCAACTAAAAAGTTAAGCCGTTGGAACTCATCTTCATCGGCGGAGATTGAAGAAATCTCCATCCCCGGCTTACCGGTGAGGTTTGACTATGCTGCGCTCGCGGCAGCCACTGAGAATTTCAAAATCCAAATCGGTAGTGGTGGATTCGGCACAGTCTACAAAGGTACTCTACCCGACAAAACGCTGGTGGCAGTGAAGAAGATAACCAGTCTGGGAATCCGAGGAAAGAAAGAATTTTGTACCGAAATCAGCATAATCGGAAACATCCACCATATTAATCTTGTGAGATTAAAAGGCTTCTGCGCGCAAGGAAGACAACGGTTTCTGGTGTTGGAGTTCATGAACCGGGGCTCATTAGACCGAGCACTTTTTGGTAATGGCGAACCGGTTTTAGAATGGAGAGAGAGGTTCGAAATAGCCCTCGGGACAGCGAGGGGACTCGCGTACTTGCATAATGGGTGTGACCATAGGATCATCCACTGCAACGTGAAGCCGGAGAACATCCTCTTGCACGACAATTCGCAGGTGAAAATCTCCGATTTCGGGCTCTCAAAGCTGCTAAGCCCCGAAGAATCCAGTATCTTCACCACAATGAGAGGCACCAGAGGGTATCTTGCTCCAGAATGGCTGACAAGCTCCTCAATCTCCGACAAGGCCGACGTGTACAGCTACGGAATGGTGTTGTTAGAAATAGTGAGGGGAAAGAAGAACAGCTCGGTGCAAATATTGTGCAGCCAAAATAATAGAAGTAGCACAAGATCATCTTCGTCTTCTTCTTCAGGCGTCGTCCATGGGGCAGTGTATTTTCCGCTGCTGGCGCTCGAAATGCACGAGCAAAGGAGGTATTTGGAGCTTGTGGATCCGCGATTGGAGGGAAGAGTAGAGGAGGAAGAGGTGGAGAAGCTGGTGAAGATTGCATTATGTTGTGTGCAAGAAGACCCTGCGCTGAGGCCGAGCATGGCTAATGCGGTTGGCATGTTGGAAGGTGGATTGCCTGTGGCTGAGCCAAGGATTCAGTCACTGAATTTTCTGAGATTCTACGGCAGGAGATTCGCGGAGGCATCGCAGAACCGTGATGGTGATCATGATGAATTTGTGATGTGGAAGAGTGGTGGTGCAACCAGTACCGGTTCACACAACTCTCTGTCTTACATATCTGCATATCAGCTCTCTGGTCCCAGATAGTCATGTTTTGTTCTTGTTTTATATCCTTATATGTATTTGTGTCCAACTTGAATAGCTAATTAAGTGAATCAGACTTATTTTTATTCCTTTTTTTGTTGTAAGAAATTGTCAATATTCCTAAATTGTGTTTTCATTTGAACAATTTCCTAATATGTTTAACTTTTACCCCTACAAACCGCTCCAAATGATGTAATAAGTAGACGTTGCCATTGTTGGTTTCGGGGACTTTTGATGTAGCAGTGAACCGATCTACAGTCAACTTCACCATTAAGTGTTGCTTTGGTATTTAAAAAAAAAAAAAAGGTTAGCGCGGCAAATAAAGCTTTATTATAGGGTTAATTTCAAATTTAACCGTAGAGGAATACTCATTTTCCTATTTTACCTTTAAACTTTTAAGGGTTACACTACTGGTACTCGAGCTTTACCAATGTTGTACTATTAGTCCCTCCTTAATAGAACCATTAAAAAATAAAAGTAATAAACATGGCACACACATGATACAGATAGGATTGTTAAAAATGCCATTGATAATGTCCTTGGCCAAAATTACATGATTTGGAAATAATAAATTTTGGTATGCTTTCTTTCCCTCAACAATGCAATTAGGGGATTTTAGGGATTTTGCGTTTAAATCAAATAATTTAGGCCAAGGGAATTATCTATGATGTTTTTTTATGACACTAGCCGCATCACGTATGTCTCACATGGTCATTTTATTCATATTTAACAGTGCTATTACGGAGGGACCAATAGTGCATCACTTGTAAAACTCGGGTGCCAATAATTGACATTTGAAAGTTTAAGAGGCAAAGACAGACAATGAGTATTCCTTGATGGCTAAAATTGAAATTAACCTTATGTTATATGTATAAATACATCACACGCATGTATACATATAACAATATTAGAAAAAAAATTCTTTTTTTTCTTTTGTATTTTAATACTTTGAACCCGAAGGAGTAAAGAAAAGTCTCTTTCATTTTCACCGATTCGAGTTTTGTTACAGTAAAAAACTCATATCTAACTTTTGTGCTACAGTAAAAAGCTTTCATTAAAGTCACACCTCAAATCGAATTAAAAACTCGAATCAGCGAACTAAACGGGCCCGTAATATATCAGGACATTCATAGTCATGTTTCAATTAATTAAGTCAAATTTTTTTTCAGTTTTTGCCTTTAGCTGCTTGTTCACAAGAGAATAATATTTGAACTTTATTCCAGCAATACTAATTATCCTTAAAACTTGTATATTTTTTTGGCAACCTCAATGGGCAAGGAAAACAGAAATATGAAGGATTTTTATTTAACCGTGATTGGAATCCAAAATGGAGAGAGGAAAAATCAAGTGGAAAAGTTATAATTAGATAAATGCTGAATTATCATATATATACACGTATATAACATTTATAGTTGCTAACACATGCTCCTTTCACAGATTTTACCCCGGGAAGTTGAGAAAAGTGGCCCAGCCCATCTACGAAGACTCATTGGCCTACATATCCTGGTCTGGGCTGGCACGTTTGGGGAGGCCTCGCTTGAAACTTTAAAGTCGTATACGATTTTTGTCGTCGATTTCCACAAGGAAAAGTTATTTGATTTCTTTCTTGAAATTTATGACAGTTTAAACGCCTCAAATCAACAAGCAATAGCTATATATACATATACATATAACCCGAATAACAGAGGTAATTCAGAGGAAGCATACTTGTGATAATTCAATACATAGGAGTGATTGTTTATAAACAACTTTGCAATTTGTGAAATTTTATTCATGAATAGTTCGATGGAACTTGTTTTGGAAGAGTTTAATGCTTTTTTCTGTCGTTTTTGGGGAAATTATGTGAAAGCAACATTTTCATGAACACGAATGAAGTCTCCTAAGAAATAGATCACGTAACACAAAGACAGCCCACGTAGTGTGCGTGGTTGGTAGTTCTAAATGGTGACTACAAATACACCACGTCCACCCTTCTCCCTCTTCTCCTTTCCCAACCCCCCATCTTCTCTACCATTTATTACTATTATTATCATTTTTTTTTTTTAACTTTTATACCCTTCATTCTAACATTATATAGCTCCCACTCTCAAACCAATCTCCTCAACGTCTCTATTTGTATAAATAACGCTGGATTTCTCATTAAACACAACAAATAAATTAAAGATATCTAGCTAGCTAAGTAGACAACGTAGCTATGGAGGTTGAGAGAGTTCAAGCCATTGCTTCCTTGTCTTTGAGCTCCAATACAATCCCCGCGGAGTTCATCATGCCCGAGACCGAGCAGCCAGCGGCCACCACATTCCGCGGCCCCATTCCCGAGATACCCACCGTCGATTTCAGCGATCCCGACGAGCAAAACCTAGTCCGCCGCGTGGTGGAGGCGAGCAAAGAGTGGGGTTTCTTTCAGGCGTTGAACCACGGCATCCCTGCCGAGGTCATACGAAGGCTGCAGGAGGTGGGGACGGAGTTTTTCCGGCTGCCGCAGGAGGAGAAAGAGTTTTACGCCAAGCCGGTCGATGCCAAGTCCATTGAAGGGTACGGGACAAAGCTCCAAAAGGACCAGAATGGAAAGAAATCATGGGCTGATCATCTCTTCCACAAGATATGGCCTCCCTCTCGCATCAACTACCAATTTTGGCCCAAAAATTCACCCACTTACAGGTTGATCAATCTTTTTTTCAATATATATATATACACACACACATCCATGCAACTTATTGATATTCCATCCCTCTATCCATGATGCATAATTATATATATATATATATATGTATGTATGTATGTATGTATATATTCTCATGGTGCAAGGTTTTAGTTGTAACTTTCTAATATTATGGGTTTAATCCAAATAAACCAAAAAAATATCAAGCTTAATTAAAAATTGAATATAGAGTGAAAACTGAAAAGTATGTTGAACTGAAGTTGACGAAAAATGTGACAGTTTAAAAATATGTTTAACTGAACTTGGTGAAAAATGTAACGGTAGTTTTTTCCCCCTTGTAAGTGTATATATAGGCAGATGTTAAGATAATATATAATGTATGATATTAATGTTGTTAGAGAGGCAAACGAGGAATACGCAAAGCATGTAAGAGAGGTGGCGGATAAGGTGTTCAGGAGTCTGTCGATAGGGTTAGGAATGGAAGCCCACATTCTCAAAGAGGCAGTGGGAGGGGAGGAGTTAGAGTACATGATGAAGATCAATTACTATCCGACGTGTCCGCGGCCCGATCTCGCACTCGGAGTTCCGCCGCACACTGACTTGTCGTCGCTAACAATTCTGGTTCCGAACGAGGTTCCTGGTCTTCAAGTTCTCAAAGACAATCACTGGATCGACGCTAAATACATTCCTAATGCGCTTATCATTCACATTGGCGATCAAATTGAGGTACGTACTACTTATTAGCCTAACTAATTTCTTTTATTTTTACTAAACTCACCACATACAAATACAACCATCTTGCTTATTAAGCATGACTGAGTTAGTCTATATTAATTCTAATTTCTACACCTACCTCCTAAATTGTTTCAAGAACTGATATTTATCTTTAGTACAGAATATTAGAACGAGAAAACAAAGGGGGGACGGTTGAAAATACCGCGACGATATATATTATGATTTTTTTTTTCAATGAAAAAGAAAGTAATTAATTTGATTGACACGTGTACTTATTCAAATTTTGTTGTACTTGCGTGGAAATTAGGTAGATGAGATTAATGACAATTAATTAATGGAACTTGGTCCATCAGTTTCAATATCTTTCTCAATAAATAACTAGGCATATTTACATGGATATATGCGGTTAAAACAATTAACTTTAATTGATGGTAAAATTACTCTAAGCATTTTGAGTTTTGGTTTTGCCCCACTAATTAAAGGAATCTATAGTTTGTAATAAAAACACTGATTATATGAACTCGGCTTAATTTTAAGAGTAGATGATCAGATTGTTTAAGGTTACATACACAATAAAACTAAGTAAATATACACACACATACATACATATATATATATATATACATATATATAATAGTTATGACATGTGGATTGCATGTAGATTGCAAGCAATGGGTACTACAAGAGCGTGCTGCACAGAACGACAGTGGATAAGGAAAAGGCAAGGATGTCATGGCCTGTATTCTTAGAGCCACCGCCTGAGTGTGTGGTAGGACCCATACCCCAGCTTCTCAACGACCAAAACCCTCCAAAATACAAGTCTAAGATGTTCAAGGACTACGCCTACTGCAAGCTCAACAAGCTTCCCCAGTGATCCATCCATCCATGCATGTCTTTTAATTGCCTATATTAATATATTAACGCACTACTATTGCTTCTCTAATATTTACTTAGTTTGTTAATTTTCTCAATATATATGATTCCCGTATCTGTGTTATTGCTCATATATTGTAATTGTAACAATTGAAAGGTCCGTTTTGGTTCGGTTGCCATCTATAACTTGTTACTTAAACGGAGAAGAAGGATATACTAAAAGTAATTTTATTACCACCTTTAAAACATTTCTCCTCTTTCTTTACTTGCTTAGGATACAAACACAATAAAAATTGATGACTAGTAAAAGATTCAAGAATTGCTATTGCTACCGGATGTATTAGCCAGATTTGCAAGACTTTTTTGTTAAATGAGTTGCTACAATTATTTCACCGGTTATATCGTTAAGATGACATGACATTGAGTATTTACGATGACATTTAGCGATTAAGTCATCGCAAAAGATGCAGAATTAGCTAACGTGGCTTATATGTTTTGCGACCACATTTGTCGTCACAAATAATATTGTAATATTTTAATTATTTTTTCTCATTTTAATAATTAATGTTGTATATTATTATATATTTAAACCCAATATTAAATATAATTCATGATATTATAATAATAAAGAAGAATTAAATAAAAAGAAATAAAAAATAAAAAATGGAAATAAAAATTATTATTGTAAAAAGTAATTAATAAAATAAAATAAAATGAAAATGTAATTATAGTAGAAATGTACATAAATAAAAATTGTTACATTAATAAAAATATAATCTCCTAAATTAGCAGCATCACTAGAATTATCGTTGTTATCATTGGAAGGATTCGGAGGCGGATGATCTAGTCAGACATACGACACAAGAAGAGTAACCGCTAGGAAAGTCATGTTCGGGTGCATTTGAGTGATGAAGTCCTGCATCATTCTGATGCTCTCATACAACTGAAGGTTTTGTTGGTAACTCTATTGCAACTTGCAAGTATTCTTCTACGTGTGGATCTGAACGTGCTGTAGAAGATCTTGCTAAGCGTGAGCCAGATGACGACGCATCCCCTCGATAAACTTTTTATGGGAGTATGCGACCCACTCCAGTCTTGTGTCCTCTACGGGTGCCCAGAAACTGCTCCATAATATCCTCCTCGTTAACTGCTCATGCCGCAGATGATCTAGAAGTAGCAGACTGCGTCTGGATCTGCGTTTCTCTTTCTCCCTCCATCCGATGCTACAAATGTTATAAGAAAAATAATTAAATACATAATGCGATTTAAATAAAAAAATATAAGTAAACATTACGAGTATACTTACAAAAGTCTGCTCAGCTTGGGGATTAACCCAAGTATCCCCACGATGATGCATGTCCCCCTAGTTATCGATGACAGACATCGGCTGTTGTGTCCCTGTGGTAGACTGTATAGTAGTTTAAATGTATATGAATATAGTGTAATCGATTACCAAATTAACATTTATATTGAATAAATTATTAACGAATACTTACTTTCTTCTCGCGATGTTGGGAGTATGACATCCGACCATGAAAACTTGATCACTTTTTGTCGTTACGATTAAGTTTATTGATTCCTGACTTTTTCTATTTATGCTTACATTCAGCATTAGTAAAATTAACCTTTATTATATATAATAAAACAACATATAAAAGAGATCTAATTACCTGAAACTTGTCGGACATGAATCTATCGCATAAACGACCCCAGTGATCTGGATTCTTGAGGTTTTTGAGAGGGTGAGCCCTAACTGCACTCTCATTTTCTGAACCACCAAGATCTTTGAAATAGTCATGGAGGTCACTTTTTCAATCCTTATAACATTTTGTGGCTTCCATGTCGGCCACAGACCTAATTATACCATCGTCGCGGTCATAATTGAGGTTGAACCATTCCTATAATACAATATAAACATGTTAAATGATTTTATTATATTGAAATTTAGATTAAATTAAAAAACAATGAAGTTGAATAATTTATACCAGCAGGCACTGCTGAATCTTTCTCTTATGATGGATGTTCACGTCCTTCCATGTATCGTAGAAAGGCTTATAGACATCCCTATCATGGATTCCAACGGCACTATCGAACCAAGTGTCGTAGTTTTCAATTACCTTCCAAGTACCTCCATGTTCTTCAAACATGGGGGTGATCTTTCCTTCCTTTGCCACTCTGACTGCGATTTCGTGACCTTTAGCCTTCCCTCAAACTCCACGACGTTGTCGAGGTGCGACTTCAGGTGTTGTAGAATGAAATATATTTAGTGATCATATAATATTGATGTAATTAATTTAACAAATTTATAATTATGTTCTAATATACCAGACTCACAGTGTGATGGCAACCTATAAGGATCGGGTGGAGGCTGCGCTCTCCCTGAAGAGCCAGCACATGTTATGAAGTTTTATCAAATTTTATGAAAATTAACACAAATTATTTTGTAATATGTCTTTAACATTCTATTAACTATTTTATAATATTTATTTTTTAATTTTTTTAATTAGTAATATAATACTAATTAAAATTTCCATCTAAATTTTTTAATCATCATATATATAATTCATTATTTTTAACTTCTTAATATTTTCATAGATCGCATATTTTTTAATCATCATCAAATAAATTTCATACAAATTTCAATCTAATTACCACAAATTTCAATTTCAATTCTAATTTACAATTCACAATTCTAAATCCAAAACCAAAAACTAAATTCAAAATCTAAAACAAAACCACAACCAAAATACTAAAATCAATTTATAAAATACCAAAATATTAACTCACAAATTCCAAACCCACAAACACTGGGGATTGGAAAACGGTATGGCAGAAGGGCTAGGAGGGCGATGGCGGCCGGAAAATGATGACGACGGCCGGAAAAATGGGCGGCGACGGTGAGGTGAAAACTCCATTTTTTTGGACTTTTTTCGGAATATTTTTCTCCACAAGTGAAGGATTTGAAGACATAATGATATATTTATGCTTTTTTAAAAGTTTTTGGGTGGTTTTTAGAGGTTTCGGATGGAGAAGGAGAGAGAAAACCGAGAGGGTCACCGGAAAAAAATGGAGAAAAAAGTTATGCGATTGCGTTTATATAGGTAGCTTTTTACGATGACATTATGTCGTCGCAAAAGATTTTAAATAATTGTCGCAATTAATATAAAAACGATGTCATTCTTTTTCACCTCATTAATATTTATGAGAATATTCTTGAGGAATATACCCGTGCTCATTTTTTGCGACGACTTTGTTAAAATGTCATCGCAAATAATCTTAAGGAAACCGCTAAAGTTTTCACCCTTTTTTTTTGAGAAATTTAAATTCCCAGTTATTTGCGAGGACATTGTTAAACAAGTCGTCGCAAAAAATAGTCGTTCTTGATAGAATTTTCTAGAACCCTTTTTTGTGATGACATGTGTCGTCGCAAAAATAGTCGTCCTGAAAAGAATTTTCTGGAACTATTTTTTGTGACGACTTTTCAATATGTCATAACCAAAAATAAAGAAATATCTGGAACCTATTTGCGGGAAACCGCCAAATTTTTTGCCTCTTTTTGGCCACGTCACCTCCAGCTGTAACTATCAACATTTGCGACATGTCGTCGTAAATGATGGACAAACTGGCACCAAAATCGTTAGCGCAAGATTGGTTTTGGCGCCAACGGATATTAGCGACGACATGTCGTCGCGAATAATTTGTCAAATTTTAGCGACGATATGTCGTCACAAATAGTGAAATTTTGTGCGACGACGTGATAGTGAATGCGACGACAAGTCGTTCAAAAATTTTTTTTTTTTTTTGGCGACGACATCTCGTCGCTAATATTGTAACTTTAGCAACAATAAATATCGTCGCTAATAACCCTTTTGTTGTTGTAGTGCCTGCCGTTTTCAATCTATTTCAACACTAAGTTCACCTAAAAATAATAATTACCAATTTAAAGTAGAAAAGAGAGGCCGCGGGACGTCCCGATCGAGGGACGCAAGAAAAAGCCTAGTTTTATATACAGGAGATAGGAGATCATACAACAATATGGTGATGGAGAGGAAATGTTTTGGAGTTGTTTTCTTGCTCTTCATTCTCTTAGCATCTCGTAAGATCACACATTGATATATTCATTCTGTTGGCATCTCGTAAGGTCATATATATACATATATGTGATTTTAAGTGTTTGGAGGGCTTTGTGTCCTAGATTGCAGAAGGACGACCTATGGTTCCCCTAATGTTCAGTTTAAGGTATGCATGAGGTATATTGCATTTTTATGTTAGCATATGCACGTAGAGAAAACGTTGCATATCATTCAGTAAAGTTTCTAACACTTTGAAATGAAAACTCAAAGTTCAGTAATGTAAAGAGACTGACGGGTCGTCGGCCTCCCAAGGGAGGAAATCTCAAAGAGTGGAGATTCTGACTAGACCAGACAGTAAGCAGGGGCTCAGGCCCACAGTAGTAAGAACGGAAAGACAGAAAGTAGTTTAAAGCATGTTTCACACGAGCATATTTGCATCATAACTCTTAATGTATTTTTTCTAGTTTATGATGTGTGCATGTTTATACTTACTGAGCGTTAGCTCATCAGTTTACTCGTGTGCAGGTAACAAAGGTAAGCAGCCAGCCATATAGTGATTTTTCTTGATGGACCAGTGGAGGCAAGAGTGGCGGAAATGTCATGGGCACATGGGAGTGGTATCTACTACGCTCGCTTAGAAATTAAATTCCCTTGCAGAGTAATGTAACATAGAACACTAGTATGTATGTTCAGTTTTAAGAAAGAGATATTACAACCATTATCTTGGTAAAGAACAATGGACTGTAATAAGTTAAGACAAGTTTTCGGGGACTAGTTCCATATCCGAATCCTTATAGTATTAGCAAGAAGAAATTGTTGTATAACAAAAGAACATGCTAGGAACATGTTAAGAACCCGAGGGTTAAAGAAAAAAAAATTTACTGGTATTAAAACGTAAATTAAAGAGACGATAGTCTAATAATAAGTAATAGATTAGACTATAATTCAGCCTATTAGTAGTAGTTTAAGGTTGGCGACCCGCTGCCAGAGCGGGAGGCGTCACAAAAATGGCCATTTTTTGAGGAGTCAATCAGTAATTGACCCATTATGTATCAACAGTTTATAATTAATAAAACCTATAATTTATTGATTAAAATTGATTAATTACTAATTAATTTTAGTTCATTATTAATTGATATTGATTAATAATGAATAATAATCAAGTTAATCAGTAATAAGTTAAAGTCAATCAATAATGGACCGCTAAGTGAATCAATGATTAACCAATAAATTAATAAAACAGTTATTTTTGTAAGTTTATATATATATATATAACTTTTTTATAGAACGGAATCCAACATTTTGGTTACAAAGCAAAGTTAAAAATAATTAATATAAGAAATTTAGATGTAGCATTTATAGCAAATATGACTACGCATTTAAGATGACTGTGGTACACTTGAACCTGATCCACTGAACATGTTAGCATTTATTTTCGGCCAAATTATGTTTGCTAAACTGGAAATTACATTCCAACGATAATCTAACTTTTCAATTTGTCATCAGGATTGATCTTAGAATGGTTTTTCAAATTATTTTAAAGTTGAATCATGGAATGCTATTCACACTTTGTGTATAGGTAATTTGCATACAAACAAAAACTAATTGGTGCACAACAATAGTTAAATATTTATTCAATATTTTGTTGGGGCAATTTTTTAGACTTTTTTTTAGCTCTCTGATCCCAGATAGCATGTTTTGTGCTTGTACATGTATTTGTCAAACTTGAATAGCTAATGAGGCGAAACAGACTTATTTTTATTCTTTTTTTTTAATGGGAGATTGTCAATATTTCTAAATTGTTGAACAATTTCCTAATTTGTTTCTTAACCGTACAAAACGCTCCAAATGAACCGATCTATTAGATTACTTTACCATAAGTGTTGGCTTTTGGTATTTATTTAAAAGAAAAATGTTAGCGCAGCAAATAAAGCTTATTCTAAAGCTTTGATTAGCACATTCTTAGCTCGGACAAAAAAAGAAAGTGGTTTGTAAAAATCATGATAAACAATTTAAAGGACATGGTAGCAATTGTTTAAAGGTCTTCAGATTCACAGACAATTCCTTTACGATGTGAAAAGAAAAAACACTGAAAATGCTAAATTAATATTAATTGGGTTTATAGCTACGTAATATAAAACGTCACGGATTTACTAGTCATTTCAAACTACCTGGATATTCCTATGCATGAATAAATAGAATCATCATTAACTTTTAACTGATCGTATGCAAAAAAATATGTCCTCCATATTGACAACTTCATACAAGGATGCAAGATCTTTGAAACATGAAATGTCCTGAACAAAAAATACAAAAGTCATATTGTTAATACACACATATATAATGCAACAGTGAATATCTATAAGATGTGAAATTGGCACTCTTCTTACATCTAAACATGATTACTTCTATGCAAATATATTTACACATAACATACACACACACACACACACACACACACACTAATATACCTTCCTTGGAAGAGAAGAAGGTTGCATATGGCATAGTAAATTCAGCCAATAGGCATTTGACTTGATTTCATCTTCGTGTCTGCTCAGCATAACTCTTCTAACCATTGAAAAATCCTATTAATTTTATCCATGGACAGGAAAAAATTTAAAAAGCTGTGTGTTCAAATTCTAATGGTTGTCTTTTCATGTAAAGAGAGCAATTACGAACTTGAGCTCTTGTATTAGTGGGTAGTAGCCAGAGATAAAAAAGAAAACATGATTTTATATCTTGGTTCAGAATCAATGTTTGCTTTACAGTAATTCATAATCAGTGTTTGGTTTGGATGATTCAGAATCTGATGTGATGTTTTAAACTAATTTAAATCATGATTCTAAAACCACCCCCTCTTGATTCAAGGTGATTCAAACCTCTGATTCTGAATCATAGTTTCAGAATCATGATTTGAACCCAAAATCATGAATGATGGTTCTGATTTTAGAATCATAATTAGAATCACTCTGGTTTAAATCCTCGTACCAAATGAACCCTTATGTATTAATTGCTTTATTATCATTTACCCAATTTACATAATATATAATCTGTATATATTCTTTTTACGAATACATAGTGAGGGTAAAAAAACTATTGGAGTCTATATATATGATATGTGCATATTGTGTTTAGAGGAATTATATAATCAAACTAACAACTATTAATAATTTAAATTAAAGAGTTGCTAACCTCGACCATACAATATCCTTCAGAAAACATATGGTGACGAAAACCTTTAAGAACTTTCTTGCATACATCAACAGATTCATGAACCTAGAGATGTACCTTTTGTAAGAGACTCAAATAACAGAAGAAGCTTTTTTTCTTTTTTTAATATAAAGAGGGAAACCAAATCTTACCTTAGAAGGAGTTGATGTTATAGAAATCATATACCATCCAAGATTTAGCTTATCAAATAAGCGTGTATTGAATGTTGCTTCATATGACAAACTAGAAGCGTTTATATTTGCACCGATTCTGTATAAAATAACAGTAAAATTAACACATTAGTATCATTATTTTAGTTAGAACTAAAATCCAAAGTATATCCATTACTAAACGTATAAATATGAAATCAAAAAATTATTTAACATTCATTTATTTGCATAAATGTTATTTTTGTATTTAAAAATAAATTAGAATTATTGTCAAGTTGAATTACATAGAGTCTAAAATGTAAGTCAAGTACTCCATCGTGATGCCAAAGAAAAGCGGATGGCCACGAAGTTTGTTATGCAAACTCGGCCCCTCGATGAACTTCGACTTAAGATAGTGCTTTCCATCAATGGTGAACCCCCACATATTCGGTGTAAGGCCAGCGACACATGCATATGATCTCTCTTTAGTATCCTTTAAATAGACCTGATAAAATAATCCTTGTAAAAAAAGATTCTAAAGCTACTTTTAAAACTATAAATAAAGTGAATATAATGGTTACACTTCGTACTTGTGATTGTGATTGCATATGGGATGTAGAAGCGCCGTACTTAATTGGATTATATTGAGGCACCTCAATCTTGAAATTTCTCGTAGCTTTAACTGTACCTAAATAGTGAATAATAAAAGAGTCTATATCTTCCTCACAGAAGTCTCCCACTATACTTACCTAAAAAGAAACATTTGAAATAAATAATAAGAACTGTTCAATTTATTTGTGAATTAAATTAAATTAAATTAAAATAACAAAAGTTACACACCTACCTCCATGTTATTTCCCCTAAATTGGTTTAACACTGCATCCTTGACAGATTGCAAAGTTAAATTTTGTAATGATATTTGTGTTGGCTTGACAAATCGTTCATCTCCACCCAACATGTCTAACATCATTTTGCGAGTGGTGGATTGCTCTAAACTCTTCAAATTGGATTGAAATTTTGAGAAGTGTAACTGCCTTGCTCTATCAAATGCATCTTCTAACCAAACACTTTGCTGCATGATCAGAAACAAAGCAACCAACCAACATTACTTAAGAATGTCGATAAAGGAAAACATTAGTACTAAGCTTTACCACACGCACAAACTACACAACAAAACTTTTTTAAAAGGAAAAAATGTAAACATAATTATATATATTCGGATTACCTCAAGTAACATATGAAGCAATTGGAAAGCTGCTTGCATCCCATTTTCTCTTGTTGTAAAGCTCAACTCCACTGAAATAAATTCTTCGGTGGACTCCAAGGAATAATCAATCATATTTTTCAAACAAAAGAGTTTTACCTAGACAAAATGTTGTTTTAAATTTATGCGACTATTCTTACCTTCGATATATACTCAGAAAATGCAAAAGCTATATACTATATGTATATACACATATATTAAACTACAGAATATAATTACCTGTTCCTTGGTAAAGTTACCAACACAACCACCTTCAAAAAGAGTTTGAACACCGACAACAATAGCTCCCTTTAAATCTGAACTTTCACGTGCTCTTCCACCATCTATTATAACTCGTATTACACCTTCTTCACCTTCATTTTTTGAAATCTGACATATATGAATTTGTGAATATATTCAATCTTAGGATCATGTGAATGCACCAAAGAAAACATAAGATACGCGCGGGACTAATTCAACTTGATTAAGGGAGGGTCGGTATATATGTTAGAGAAAATATTACAAAACATGAACACAAAAGGAATATAATATCCAATTGTAGATCACTAAGTGATGTAACTCGAGGATTCTCTCACTCTCAACAATGTCTAACACACCCACTCAATCCAAACATTCACTAAGTGATGTAACTCGAGGCATTTGAAACAAAGTATTTGGGCTCAAAGACCCTTCCCTATTGCTTCCAAATGAATGTGGGACTAATTTCCTTTCTTTTTTTTTTTTTTTTGCCAAACAACCAACATATACTTAACACGTATAACTCCTTTGGTTAGTATTACCTTATAATTAACAGAAATTCCATTTGAAAGACGAAGTTGAGTTGTATCGGTTCCCTTATCATGAAGTTTCATCACATTTGGCTTTGAACTGATTGGAGGAATGAAGGTTGGTTGGCGCTCTAGCCATAATTCTTGTAATTCTGATGAAGATATTAACTCTGTTGGAATCTCAATCTGCATCGACAAATTATATATAGAGAGAGAATAATTAGAATAAAAATATTTCTATGTAGAAGACGATTATAATCTTTCTTGACAATATTTTAATAATAGAAAAGACCATCACCTCAGGTTCAGCATGAACAACCTCCTCTAATCCTTGTTTCATAGCAAATTCAATCTCGCTACGATTTATGGTGAACTTGATTAGTTCTCCATTCACCTCACAAGTGCTTGGAGCACATGCCATGATTGTTGTGGGAACAGGTGCACTAGGCTTTCCAAAATCGGAAACAAACTCTAACAATTGGGCGCCAATAGAATTTACCTCATAACAATAATATAATATAGATTAGCTAAAATTGAAAGAATGATATATACAGTGAAAAAATGAGTGTTGATGAACCCAACCTCATCAAATGATTAATCAAATCAAGCCCTTTACACATCCTTTTTGGCTGCGCCATAGTTAGAATTAGAAGGAGAAAAAAAAAGTTAAGAGATTCGTATTAGTTAAAATTAGTGTTTCCTAACCCTTCAAATTTAAAGCTTTAAAGGCCAAAGTTCAAAAGGCCTTTTCCTTCGATGTTTCACAATGTAAATAGTTAAAATCTCAAAAAAATAAAAAATGGTGAAGTGTTTATTTATGGATGATAAATTTAACGGTATCATGAATTGTGATAATAATAAAATATAGAATAGCTAAACTGAAAGAACGAAACTTACCGTCAAAAATCAGTAGTTTAAAACTTAATTGTGCGGTTGAGTACCCGAACCAAACCACCCTAAAAACATTTTTTACATATGGTAGTACTAGAACCCTTCACCCCCCTTAAAAAACGATTTTGCATATTTTGCAAATAATAACAATCTTATATATTTTAATTGATTACCTCTTCCAGTGTAATTGTTGTAGCAACAGCTGCTAAACTTTCATCTGCTTCCCTTTGCTCCATTGTAGTGTGGCCAAGTGTGTCATTATACATGATAAACTTAACGGCGTCGTGAGACGAAGTGTTATCAAGCACGCGTCTAAGAATTGTATTATCTTTCACAATTGCATCCTTGTGAATAGTAAGCTCTTCGTAGTTAATCCCCAACTCTTTTAGCCTTCGAACCTGCATGTCATTCGACATTTAGATTATATATATATAACAAAGAAAATGCAATACACCAGGACATAGATAGCATCATCGTTATGTTTAAGTTAATTAAGTCAAAAAAGATTTTTGACATTTTCAGTTGTTGCACTTAGCTGCTTGACATTACGTCTAGTTATTTTGCTTAATATATTTTTATCTACAATTTGAGAATTAGCAACAGTAAGATGTTCACCTAATTATAGAACCGTTTTCTCTTTGCTTTGTAAATTGTGTTTAGTGATTTAGAAGTAATAGAGGGTGGGTAAGATGGTGTACAAAGGTAAATATTAGTTATTATTCAAATGTTATCTTTTGTTCTATATAGGAATCGATCATGAGGCGCTTCACTACTTCTTACGTTGGTGATGTATAGGTTTCACATTATGGTTTTGAAATGGCAGTTTATGCTATTAGTTTTGTTATATAATAAGCCAATATGGGAATTTATATTGGAAACAAATTGTGCCAAATGCACCACTTATATTGTATCAACTATATGATGCATGCTACGAAGACAACAAAAAGTTTGCTTCTGATCACAGGTAGAGGGATTAAAGTACAAACCTCGTGAAAAGCCATTTTTATTGTAGTTTCCCAATCTCGTGGCTCACTTGCCATAGCAAGACTAGTACAGGCACATCCGAATTGACCAAAATCCCAATGGTTTAATTCCATTATTCTTGACGATGAATTTGAACTCTGAAAAATTTTATATATAACATTAAAGTTGCTAATTAGATACATGTTACATAATTATAGTAGAATATATATATATATATGTATGTATGTATAGACACACATAAAGCAGAACGAAAGGATATATAATAAAAAATTTTAAATAATATATCACCCAAAATTCTAACTGTGTGGAGCAACCCCACTAGAATAGAGTTATTATTTTATAATATATAACTTTGAGAAAAATAAACTTATCATATAAATTTGGTGGTAAGTAGACAAGAGAAATCTTGACATAATGATAGACCTCTTATTAGGTACACATTTATGGGATGAGAGCTAAGAACTACTTGCCCAGAGAATTTCTGTATTTTGCCCGGGGTTAATTACAATAAAAAAAAGTAATGAAACAAGTATTTTACCTAGAATAAAAAAAAATAAAATGGATCAAACTAAAAATCAAACAAGTAGTTGCTTCAAACTAAAAATTAAACAAGTATTTCTGTATTTTACCTAGAATTTAGTCTTGAATTAAACAAGAATTGATCAAACTAAAAATTAAATGGAACGTACCTCGTATTTTGCATTAATTCGGAAATCCAAAATAGATAGATATATTTGCTTCATTACAAAATTCCGTAAGTCACCGTATGTTTTTAACTTATTCAGTGGAATCTGCAATGATTTTTCATAAAGTTACTAAAATAAAGCTTGAGAAAACGCAAAGTAATGAAAAGGAACAAAAAAAATTTTCCCTTTTTTTTTCAATTCCTGAAAAATGCTTAACGACAATGGATAGCTAATAGTAGTTTACTACAAATCAACTTAACAAAGCATTTAATATTTCTTTATGTTAAAAAGAGGACCTGCTTTACCTATATAAATGATGTTTCTTAGATAATCCTATGATAATTAAATTAATCAATCACTTTCTATTAAAACCTCTTACACAAATTGAACTAGATATGCCCAAAGCCGTCATAATATCATTATCATTAACCTTTGAGCAAATATGAAAGGAAAAGTTGTGAATGAGGTTGTGCTGGAAAATTTGTACTGGAGGCCTTTGATCATCTATGTTGCATTTAGGGAGGGACCAATTATGGTATATTGTTAATAGAGGCCGAATAGGATGATCCGGTCTTCTATTTTTTAACATTGCAGATGATCTCTTGTTAGATTTTCCAAAGGCTGCCTGCAAAAAGAAAGTAATTTTAATTTAGAGAGCATCTTAAAGCCAAAAAGTGATAATTAATGTTACACAAGACTTATATATCAATCTTACTTGTATTGCATCAATTGTTTTAGAAACGTCGTTGATATCCCCAACAATATATAAGGTTGCATTGCCAGGAAAGTACCAACGGTTATGGAATTTCTTTATTTGAGCAACATTCCACTTCTTAATTTGTTCCTCCAGTCCCAAAATATTACACCTTTTACTCAACTTGTTCTCCGAATGCATATGTTGGTACAACTAACATAATGTAAAATTTAAAGTGATCTACCGTGAATAAAAACAAAATAAATCACACACAAAATACATATCCGTTGATATTGTCTCTCAAACCTGGAGTTCAATACGATGATCAATTGCATCCCCCATTTGTAATTCTGAAAGCACAATGTCTCGTTGCTTTTCAAGATAAGAAGCTCGGATCTTTGGCTTGAAAGCTATCTGTATCACGAATAATTAATGCACTGTGCTAATTTTGCTTAAAAATAAAATTATTGTAACTTTTTATCATAGAAAAGCAGATTAATTGAATAGCGTGCATACAAAACAAATAGTAAGACTCATAAATATTTTAACATTTGGGCATATACCTCATTTAAATAATTGAGGACGTAGGGAACAAGATCTTCATCAGGTAGATCTTCATTAAAATGCTAAAATAAACACAAAATTAGGTCAAAACAAAATGTATTAGACTACAATTATACAAGTTATTAATGTATGAATTGGATTAAACTGTGAGTTAATGATTGTATAAACTCAAACTTTCTAAATACATAGCATGAAGAAATGAGAATTAATGAACAAGAAACCTCCAATATGGTTTGTGAAGTGATGTGATAAACCGTTTGGTTGAAACTAGTATATGCTGCTTTCCCAGAATCTGGCCCGGGAAGTTGAAAAAAGCTATCACAGTCAAGAAGAACATGTTCAGTCATATGTGCAAGGCCTTGTTCATCATCCTCTTCATGCACTGGCCCCACATGAACTTCTAGGTGTGCTTCAAACCTATAAAATCAATATCAATAGTATCGTATATCTCGTTCTATATATAATTCAACGCAAGAATAATATATATACAATTTTTTCCTGTAAAAAGAATTGTATGGAATTGTATTATATCATGCACCCCTAACATTTTAATATTAAGAGAAAATACCCTTATGTTAGTGTAATTATTTGACTAAAAAAGCCATTAATCAAGAGTAAGGGATAAAAATCCCGACCCACATACTTTTAAAGAATACTTGTTAAGATTACCCATTAATTAATTAAGCAATCTGAGGGTTTTATGGAGATTAAGAATAAGAATGACATGGCGGGGAACGATATTACTCAAACCATGGCTTTCGAGAAGACAAGCTAGAGGACAATAACATAATTGTTGGTGGCGAAAGAAAGAAAGAACCAAAACCAAGGTGGTTTAAATCCCTCCTCCAAACATGCCTTTAGAATTCTCTAATGAAAGAAAGACTACTTTACCTGTTTGGGTGTCTTTTGTGTTGCAAAATACAATAACGCAACCCATTTTTCAACTGCCCTCGAATAAGTTTTGGATGAAAGGGAAGTTCGGAAGTTAAAAAACCCTCCAAATTATCTTGCATCTTCATAATACTACTTTTTGACTTCACCATCAAATCAATGTAAGCACAAGGCTTTACCTAAAATTAATGAGTAAGGTGAATTCATCGACAACGATAGAGAGAAGAATACAAATTCATAAAGGAACATACTGCATATTTGTTATATGTAGGATGTATTTTCAAAGAATAATTTTCTTTGACCACTTACAAAACATAATTAGAACAAGGAAAAATTAGGCGACAAGATATACACACACAAAGCCAAAGACAATGAGTAATATATATAAAATTTAAAATCAAATACATATATAAGTATGAATTAATTGGTAAACTTACAAAAGCAGTACTGTATAAACTCGGTTTGCATAAGATACGAAAATTAGAACGTGTGTCCTGGGGAAGTACTCTTGGTATTGACGTTATTTTGTTCCTCCCTTTATACAAAATATTTGAGCTGCCATAATAACCAACTTCGTGTCAGAATTTTTCAATCATAAAATGAAATTACAGAGAGAGGAAAAATAGACTTAAAATGAATAATTAAAATAGGCACCCTAAAGCCCCAAACACATTGCGTTTTGATTTACAATAGGAATCAAAGACACGCACACAACCTTAACAAACAAATAAATAAATAAAGGAGCAAAATTTGTATACCTGATGAATATTCTTGATGTGGAGGAATAGAAGGAGAGACGATGTTGTAAATTGGGCACTAAAAAGATCCATTTAAGAGACTCGTGATAATTGAAGCAGTCAATCAATCTTAAGCCTCTCTTTAGGCCTTTGTTTGTTGTGCAGGCCATAATGAATATTAACAGCTCGTGATCAAATTGGTAATTGTTCTCCACAAACTGTCTGAATTTAAATCAATATATATATGAGTATCATTGCATGATTAAAAGATGTAAATAATCAACAACAATCTGTTTGTCATCAAAGAGCTATTGCACCCCAAAAAAACAAATTTTTTTTTTTTTCAGTTAAGCTCCATTAAGACGAAACCCAGGGAGCAATCAAGACAAAGCAGTGATTTAATTTAAAATAAAATAAAATAAAAGCCCAGCAATCAAACCTGGATGAAGAAAAAGCTTTGAACTTTGATTCTGCGGGGGGAGGAGAGATGTAGAGAGTGAGCGAAGCAGGGGAGAGACTGACTGACAGAATAAGAGAGAGAGAGAGAGAGAGAGAAGAGAGAGACGAGTGAGACAGGCAAACAGCTAAGCATGTCAGAGGAGGATCAGAAGGCTTTCTCTTTGGATCTTATATCTTGTAACCTCCTAAATTTTGTCCTCACGTCACGTATTAAATAAAAAAGTACCATATAATATTATTCAGATTTCTTATTTGACCGCTTTGTACTTACTAAATAAAATTTTTTTATTTAACCAACTTTAATTAGCGATTATTAATAAAATAATTACATAAAATGTCCAATTTAAGAATATTATAATTTTTATTAATTCTTAATTTTAAAAAACATAGGACTTGTAATACCAACTAATTTTGATTATATATTTTCGACGTATTTTTTTCTAGTTGACTTGCTTTTTTTCGGAGCATATTTTTTTATTGACTTGCCTCGTTTTTTAGACAATGAATGTTTATTAGCGTTGCTTGTTGTTTCCTTTATCTATTTTCGCTCTAAGTATACTGTTTTCAACCTAAACTTGCCATGTGAGGGGTTACGTGTATGTAATTTTTTTATGAGGAAAGTGCACTTAGGAGAAGGGAATATATAAACTTATTTTTAATAGTTACGCTTTTATCGGTAATTATTGTTAAATATAAAAATTTAATAACGTGATTAATAAAAACCTAATTTTGTTAATTGTCATTAATTTTTTGATCATCTATCTAATTTATTATAACCGACGGATTAATATTTTACAGTTAAAATAACAATACCCATTAATAAGTAAATATTCGAGTAACCATTAAAACCGCATATTAAAATGGGAATTGTAGTCATACTAAATGAAAATTACAAAATACCAATAATAATGCAATATCCAATGACCAGAGGAATGCGTATACCGAGATCCCGACAAAGGAAAAGTACCTCCAAAAAAAAAGATTTTTTGATTGAAATATTTTTAAAGATGTTAAAAACTTCCACTTATTGTAGGAGTGTTCGTTGGTTAAAAACCGTCAGTTTTGGTTGGTTCGTTAGCCGAACCAACCATGTCGGTTTTTTTTGAAAGTGAAAATTGAAACCAAACCGCATGTAACAATATTCGGTTCGGCTCGGTTTCGATTCGGTTTCGGTCGGTTTTCAGTTTTGGAAATCATGAAGGCGACCTCAGTTAACCATCAGGTTACCAGCATCTTTAGTTGCATTTTTGACGCGTAAATACGAAAAAATGTAAAACTTTCTTTCAATGCAAAGTTGCAAACATGTAATCACAATAAATGAATACAAAATACAACATCAAAATTGATAATTGCACAAACACAAGTTTAAAAAACATTCAAATTGTCGTAAGAAATTAAGAAGTCGAAAGCATAATTAAAAAGCTCAACTTTAAGTAGTGAAGTTGTGCGTGTTGTGATAAAGTTCAACTATGCTTGGTTGTGATAAAGAAACTTGCCTAAACTACTGCCAAAATGAATATTCACAGTCGGTAGTCGGTGGCAGCCAAAATAAAGCATAAATATCCTATTCATAATTAAGTCATAAAAACAGGAGAAACGGAAAAGGAAAATTGCAGAAAACAAAGAATTCCAGGCAATTCAGAGGAATCTAAAATTCCAGAAAAATGGCATTTGAGAATTCAAAGAACGCCCAATGCCATTTCTTAAGCAACCAGAGAATGAAGAAAATAATGAGCAGAAATCCCATTGTTTATGCAAATTGAGTGTATATATCACCATTTTGTTTATGAAAATAATATCAACCAGAGCTTTCGAACAAGGGCTGTTAGGCACCATGCGATCCAACATAAAATAGAGGAATATGCATTTATTTAACAACGTCTAATCTAATATTTCAGCAGACAAACATGAACACGAACAAGTGGAGAAACAATCAGCAATCGGCAATCGACCAAGCTTGATGCAAATAGAAAGTGGAGAAACAAAAGCCAAACCACGGCGGAGCTTAGCGGAGGCGGACGTGCGAGCCCGAGGAGGACTGAGAAGATCGACAGAGCGGCGGCCGCCGGCTAGGGCTTCTTTCACCGTGAGACTGAGAGCGGCAGAGAGAAAACCAAGAAACCACAGCAGAGCCAGAGGCGGACGTGCGAGCGGGGACGACTGAGGAGAGAGGCGGCGGCAAGGGCTTCCGTGAGAGACTGAGAGGTGAGGGTGAGAGTGAGACTGAGAGAGGCAGAGAGAAATGAAGGAGTTTGTGCGTGTTGTGTGTTTTGTGACATGTAAACACGACAATTAGGAGTGAAGACGACAACATAGACTTGAAAAGGAAAAAAATTTCTCCATCTCGGTCGGTTCGGTTAAAAACCGAACCTCTAAATGCAAAACTGAAACTGAATCGATTTTGAGACAGTTCGGTCAGTTAATCGAACCGATTGTGTTCGGTTCCACATGGCACCGTCATTTTCAGTTTTTAAGCGGTCGGTTTTGGTTTTACAGTTTTTTTGTACAGTTTTAACTTATTGTACTTGGGATGGGTCTTTTGGTTGGGCAGCCCAATTTACCAACAACAATTATTAAAGGGAGAAAGAGGGAAATAGGTCAAGATTTGAGATGAATTAAAATTAATAGGCTAATAGTTTACATAAGTTAATAAATAGGCTAAATTACTGTTTTTGTCCATAACTTGTCTGGTTATGAACCATAACTTGACAAGTTATTGTCCATAATTCACAGTTATTGTCCATAACTTGTTTGGCTATGAACCATAACTTGACAAGTTTATCCATAACTTATCTGGTTATGAACCATAACTTGACAAGTTATGGTCCATTAATTTCTATAACTAAAAATTGACCTATATACTTTCTTAAACTTTTCATATTGGCTTATTTTTTACTATTTTTTATTATTTTAAACGACGTTGTTTCACATAAACCAACGTCGGTTTATGGCTCAAGAAACAAATTTACATAGAAATGAATCCATTTATTAGTCAGCCTTTAGGTTAGGTTAGGATGCCCATTTTACCAACAACAATTATTAAACAAAGTCGTTTAACATAAACCAACGTCGGTTTATGACTCCAGAAACAAAATAATGTAGAAATGAATTCATTTAGTCAGCCGGTCATTACATAGTCGCATGAAGAATAGAATAACTATCAGCAACTTTCATGAATGTTTTTTTTCTTTTTCTTTTTTTTTTTTTTTTTTTTTGCGAAAAAATTGACAATTAAAGATGTAATTGAAAAAATGTTTATTTGGTTCTCGAGAAACTACTTGCAAAGAAAAAAGGAAAGAATTTACTAGCAGTGCGTCGTTTAACATAAACCGACGTCGAGCGGCCCAATTTACGAACGACGTCGTTCAACAGCAATGTGATTTAATTAGTAACACTCTCTCAGCTAAAGAAAATTCAAAATCAAGCATGAATAAATAAGTCAAAATCAGATAAATAAATAAAAATAAGAAATAGTGCTGTGCACGCCAACTTAATACAAAATATTTCGATGACAAAAGGGAGAAAGAAACACAAACTGTATAGTATTTCTAAGAATTCTTTTTTTTTCTTCTTCTTCTTTCACATCAAAATTGACAGTCTTTTCATAGTTTCAGTAGCATTTTTTTTAAAGCTCACAGATTCAGCAGTTAAACAAAGATCAACTTGTGAATGATGAATTTCACTTAAGAATGACTATAAATTTTGTAACCTGTACAGGAGGTAAAGTACATGATAAGTTTACAAGGAAAAAAAGGGGGCCTTATATATCATTATTGGTGTTGGTGAATGGTGATATCAAAATAGTAGGTGGTGATCTGTGAGTTTACTTCCTGCTATGTGAAAAGGTATATTCTAGTGCCACATAAATGGTTATGCATCATCAATGATACATATTGATAATTGGAGTATGTACTACTAATCCTTTTGCACATTTTGATGAAGAAGAAGCCACAGCTGAATCCCACCCACCAAAATGTACATATACATATATATATATATATATATATATATATGCAAATTCTGTAATCAGTGATTGCAAACGACAAAAAAAAAAAAAAAAAAAAAACCCAAAAACTAGCAAACAACCCCAGATGTTCCAGATGATTCAGCAACGTCCTCCAATGCTAATGTAATGGCTACTTGTTCAATCATTTTCTTGCCCCTATTATCTGCTTCTACTTCTGCTTCTGCTGAAGAATCATCCACTGCCCTACTCAATCTCTTCAACCATATGTCATGGTCCACAGTGTATGGTGTTCCACAAAGACTGTCCACATAATCAGCAAATGCCTTTAGTATAGCTGAAACCTCTCCCAGCTTCTGCTGTACCAAACGCTTTGCCCATATTCTCTCCCTCCATTGCAAAGCTGACTCCATAGAATCTTGCTGCTCCATGCTTCCCCCGCACACGAAGAGAATGAGGTAAACCAGGCTCTCAGCATCGGATGACGGACAAAGCTTCCCGTGCTGAAGTGCATGAGATGAAGAGAACTGCAAATTTATTGCCGGGCTGTCCCTGTCACGTCCCCAACATATATAGGCAAATAAAAAGTACACTTGGCAGAAAAATAATAAACACAGACAAATAAAATACACAGAAAAATAAATTACACAGAAAAAAACACAATGCAAAACATAAAAGTATAAAACACATTGAACTAAAATTAAACACAGGAAAAAAAATCCAATGCAATAAAACATAACTGTCTTAAATTAAACACAGAAAAGAAAAAAAAAAAACCCGAAGCAATAAAACACAACAACGTCTTCTACTCCTCGCCGCCGTAGTCGCTATAGTAATCGGAGTAGTTGCCGCTGGTGTAGTTGCCGCTGGTGTAGTTGCCGCTGCTGGGGTTGTTGCCGCTGGTGCTGGGGTTTTGCCGCTGGTGTAGTTGCCGCTGGTGTTGTTGCTGCTGGTGCTGTTGCCGCTATTATAGTCACTGTTATCACTACTGTAGTAGTAGTCGTCAGGGTTTGCCTTCCCCTTTAACTTGTTCATTTTTTTCTGTAGTTTCTTCAGCTGTTTTTTCAATATACCTTCTTTTTCTTTGTCTCTTTTTTGTTGATCTTTCAATTTTTGTATGTCCGCCTCAAGCCTTTGTCGTTCTTCGAAAATTCTCTTCC